CTGTGTATGAAAGGCGCTCTACAAATAAACTTTGATTGATTGATTGATTAATGCTGATAACACAACAGCAATAGTAATAACAATGGCAATAACAATTACCCCTCCTAATCAATACAAGACACAATACATTTTAAATAGCTATCTAAATAGTTTAGCTAATAGCTAAATAGTTTGAAGTAAGAGTATTACATTAGTAATGTTAATCTATGTATCTTATCCAAAAGAAATCGTGTCATATTCTAAAATATGAACGTAAATAATCATAACATAATGATCGAAGATAATGTGTCATTGTTAATTGGAAAATAATAAGTGAAATACGATAGAATAGCAGTTAGAATCTCAAACTGTTTTGCAACCGCTGCACCTTGATGTCTCCCTCAATCCCCCACTGTGAGAGCCATACAGTATTTCCATCGCCCACAGAGTGCCGTCACCCTGCAGCCCACAGAGGCTGAGTCAGGAGCCGGGCCTTCCACATGATAAGGGGCCAGCTGGGATCCCCACACGCACGCACACACACACAGAGACTGGAAACGCTGACGGAGGCTTGGTGTTCAGTCCAGACGTCTAGACCTCTCCACATGTCCTGCTCAAAGGCACACTGAAGTATTGCTCCAAGTGAGAAGAAGTTTTATCTTCCTAATTTTTCCTATCGAAGAGCTCAGTTACTAGCTCCTTTCTTTCCTAACAGAAGGAATAAAGAGCACAAATCACAAGATACGTGAATATCAAGTATAGCACAAGTCTATACAACATTTTTTTATAATCTTCAGATGGATCATCAGGTCCAAGCATAAAAACACCATTTGAAATGCTTATATTGAGCTAAAACTATTTCCGTATTTTCCATTGAGAAAAATGTGTGTGTAATGCTGTCAAATCGTCCACATATCATAGATTTAGAAAAAAACTGTAGCTTGTATGCATCGCAGTGATTCTTTCAGAGGACTACCACGGCCTTCCCATAGCCGTCTTTCCTGCTTCTGCCCTTCAGCGCAGCGTCCCCTGCAGAGGTATTTTACAGTGTATGCACAGCTTTTAACAGCTGCAGCAGCGCTCACACCTACAACAAACAGGTTTGATATCTTCACGGTTGAACTTCAGCAGTCGTGAGTTCAGGTGGTCAGAAAAGTGTTTTATGATGTGTGCTTGAGCCGTTTCACAGCCTTAAAATTAATAGGTGCTACTTTGGACAAATCAGGCACAAATCAGTACTCAAAGTTTATGGTCCAAGTTGTTTTAGGTAGGCCTGTCACGATAACAAATTTTGCTAGACGATTAATTGTCTCAGAAATTATTGCGATAAGCGATTATATTGTCGTTCTGAGATCATTTGCATCGATTACAATGATCATGCAGGTACACCTTTACAAAGAGAAATAAACTTTTATTTTTAACGAATATTTAACGCTAGAACACAATAAATTTACAAACAACCAAAAACAATAAATAAAATACTCAGTCTCTTAACAAAAAATGACCAGGAATAAAACTGCCAGGACCTTTGTAAAGAAAATATGAAACAGATGCCTCAAATGTCAATAATTTCTCAGACTTTATGGCAGATTACGAGAAAGAAATACCAACATGTTGATTTTGTGTGGTTTAAGACAGGATCTCTCAGGAGTAGTCCCACCTCCCCACACCAGGCGAATGACAAGTGACTGACATGTGGGTTCACCAATGGGGCGTACAGAAGTCCTGCTGCGGTAGCGCCCACCGGAAGTAGCGGGGCGGGCTTTGATGCTAACAGCTAAGCTAGCGGGTTTTTTGTGTAAAGTTCTACTCCAAGAATGCAAGTCTGCAGCATCTCTGTGTTCAGAGACCTTCTAGAGACTTTATATAACAGCAGTATGTGTTCACGGAGGTGCGCCATAAGTTTATTTTATTGGTACGGTACGGTACTTCTGCATCGGCGAACACGCTAACGCTAGCTGCGCTAGTATAGTCACTAATCAAGCCTGAATGAGAACTCAGCTGCCGGCATATGTTCACAACTACTGTGTCCCCCATTGTCAATCCTGGTTAAGTCCTGGTTTAGGTCCTGTTTTGGCTGTATTTTGTATTTTTGAGTAATTTCCGTCTGCTTGCTAGACCGCTAGTGTTCCCGTGACCACTTTGCGGCTCTCTGACCCGAGAGAGACGGGGGAAACAAACAAGCTGCAAATGGGATTTATCGCGGCCAGAAAAGTTATTGAGCAAATTTTATTTATCGTGCGATTAATTGATTTATTGACTATCGCGACAGGCCTAGTTTTAGGTACAAATTCCTCCAAACGTTGTTCATAATGGACAATGTTCTAGGTGAGCTTCACCCAGACCTCATTATACACACTCCTAAATCATCTTTTGCTAAACACTTCCCTTTCCAAACATGCCTGGAGCACTGTTGAAACAGCATGATGCTGTAGAGAGGAGGGCAGTCTCTGGCGTTTGCTCATAACATTGGAATGTGCACGACATGTTCAGCCCAAAGATAACAGCCTCTGCACTTGATTGGTTTAACACGGAAATGGGACCGTCGCAAAGGTTTAAAGAGTTTTAAAGAAGACAGTAATGAGCCTGTCACAGGACTGAGAATTTTCCTTTCACCAAGAACAAACATTTTGTCAAGTAAATCCCATATTGTTTATATGTAGACATGTCATCTTGTTTATCATCATCATCATCATCATTTCTTTATTTATTCAGAATCTAGCGCCACATAAGAACAAGAAAACCAGCTAACTGAAGTGCTTTCCTTTGTTTTATTATAGGCAACTTTAAGTCTAAGGTCAGAAGAGAGAGTGACCAGAGAGAGAGAGACTAGAGACCAGAGAGTCCAGAGAGAGGCCAGAGGGAGATCAGAGAGAGAAATCATTAAAGACCAGCCCTACCACCCCCATCATCACACAGGCGTTCTGTGATTAAATTGATGATCTCGTAAAAACTAATATAAATCTCCACAAATCAGTTGTATCTAACATTTAAGGACATAAACCAATTCCGTTCTCTATAATATGTTAATCTATGACCCATGTGGCTCTTTATCAAACATATAGTTCAAGTAACAAAGCTACTTTTTCTGGGGAAAAGTAAAGTAAAGCGTTAACAATAGACAATTTAGTATTGTAACGCTGTTTCTTTTTTGATCCGCCGTAACTTAACTTTTTATTTACAATGGGCAGCTGTGACCACGCATCTGCTGGCGCTGAGCAGATGTATTACACAGTATGTGAAGCAAGAGGCCGCTAGTGGTGGCCCTGCTCATTGCGGAGTGTCGCTGGGATCTGTCTATCTCTGATGTGCAGTAGCTCAGTTGGTAACGTGTGTGTGGGAGCGCACCTAGAGGTAGAGCGAGCAAGAGGTGAGAGAGCGGAGTGTATGTAAAGCTTGGTGCATAGTGTGTTAGAGGTTGGTGTGTTTTGGCAACAGAATAATGCCCCCAGAATAATGCCCCACTCTTGTTGGGATCGCACCACACTTTGACTGTGAGGGTCACTACAGAGAAGGGACTTATGCCCCGGAGGAACACATCCCTTCGGCCCTGGACCGACAAATCTCCCTTGCGCCCCTCAACCACGGGCCGGGGGCTTAAAACAGGAAAGGCGTAACAACAGTAACACAAATGTAAAGCAAAAATAAAGTATAAAAGTTACTTTCTTTAGAGAGCAACTAAGTAAAGTAACAGGTTACTTTTTAAAAGAAGTAACGAGTAATGAGAAAACATACTTTTTAAATGCAATTTAAAACACTGTTAAAGGAACAATATGTAAAAATCTGGCCAAAAGTGGTACAGCAGTCACAGTTAATATTTTGTAGTCCTCTCCCACTCTCCCTGACTCAGGTTGCCAGATACACACCAAATCAGTTGTTTGTCTGTCTCCATTCACATTGCCATGAGGCATGCTTCTGTTGAATGTATGTTTATTTTATTTTTTTATTTGGACATTTGATATAAAAAACAAAATAAAAGCAATGTAATTATAGATTATCCAAAATAAATAAGCAATTGATGTCCAAAATAGGAGTGGGAAGAATGAATGTTGGAACCTATTTCTTCAGCGTATCAACATCAGGGTTTGCGCCAGAGGATATCACCTTTACATTTTATTTATTCCCTATTTTTTAGACAAACATGTATAAGTCCCACATCAAAAAGAGACTAACATTATTTTAATTGGGGTACATGTGGTCTTAAATGATTCTTCTTACAATTAAGCTATAATCTCCAAAAAAAAACGTTTTTTGAGCAATCTGTCATAGAATGTGATAACATGCAATTAAATACAAAAAGGCTCTGCCCGGATTCGAACCCGGGTTACTGCATCATGAGCGCGTAGTTTTAACTACTAGACCCGCGCGGTAGAACTTGCTATAAAGAACACAGTCAAACCAGCAAATTTTGCATCACACGTGAGCTTTTATCAGCGGTCTCAATTGCTCAAAGGCGTCCCGATATAAATCCTCGTTTTAGTCTTTGTTTTGTCATTAATTATTTGAGTCATAACAAGACCTTTTTTAGTTCTGCACCACATGTTATTTTACCAGTGAGATTAGCTGCGCGGAGTTCTGGCAACTCGATCACGGACTTACATGACACTTCCTGATTGGCGAAACGGCGGAGGGTAGGACATCAAAATCAAAACAATAACAACTTTTACGGGTCGTAAAACTAATTTTGATATTCAAATATCTCGGCTGAATTACTGTTATCAGTTAAAGATGTATTTGAAAAGAGCATGATTTAATAACGCCTTTTGAAATATGGGGGCCATTTAATGAAGACTTGACATGCAAATATTGCATACTTGCACAGATACCACTTTTTCCAAAACAAATATTAGTATGACTTATTTAAAATCAGTACTTGTCAATACTGAATACCGATACCAGGTTTTATTTTACAGAGCTTATAACAAATATAGTAAAATAAATTCACAGTATCGCTCAGCAGCGCTCAGGCCTTTTTTAAAGCATATGTTCTCCCCATAATCACACCCCTGTCAAACTCTTACCTCCACGTGATTGGGCAGAGAGTTGACAAACTTGAAGCCGGGGATCCTCTTGTCACTGCAGACCACGCCCACGTCTTCGGTGTGCTTGCAGTCCGACACCCCAATGCCGTTGGAGGGGCACTGGGCCAGGGTCTTCTCCTGACCTGTGCAGTGCAGGTTGTCGAACCAGATGGGCCCTGAGAGGAGGACATGTAAACCTGGGTCACTCCACTGGAAAGTACAGCCAAAGACACTTTCCAAAAACTTACTCAAGTGTTTATGACAGCGCTTTAAACAGTCCAGGAGGTAATGTCAGGATAATGTGTGTGAGCATGTGTCTGTGAGTGAGCTTTTGTTCTGGTTTGATTAAAATTCAGTCCGCTGTGTTTACACTGCACGGCTCAACAAAAAGACAAAGTCAAAATCACACGGCAGCGCAAGGCAGTCAGTGTCAAAAGAAAGGCCGAAAGACATGGACATTTTCTTGGGACGACTGTAACTTGCCTATTTCGGCCCGATAGAAGAAGAACCCCAAACATGACGGGTCCAGACATGTGCGCTTTCTGATGCTCTCATCTCTGCCAGCCACATCATTTGATTAGCTGTAATGATTTTCAGTGATATGGACTTTATATTTTAATCTATAGAGTGATGTATGCAGTTTCCATCCTGTTTATCTCTTAATGGGTCGTAAAGGCAGCAGTGAAGATGTGCGCATACCACCCCAGAAAGACTTCAGCTGTGCCTCTGCACGTGCCATGCTAATGTTTGCATATAGGTCGCAAATAAAACTAGATGGCTCCGTGGAATGAGAGTGTAGGGTAAATGAGAAGCGTGTGAGCGAGTTGAGGGGCGGTGCTAAACATTCAAACCTTGCAGAAACGGGTATAGCTCCTTCAATTCAGTTAGAGCAAAATGTCCTTAATAACTTCCCTATTAGAGTTCATTGAGCAAGGGGATTAGCTTCGTCCATCTATATACAATCTATGAATTAGTAACATATACACTAAGTGCTCTTCATTACCCACTAAACATCCGACGTCCACTCAACCTCCAGATCACGTCAAAATCGCGTCGGTCGGTCGTGACCTTTTATTTACGTCCAAACGACGTCTGTGCAAGGTGCGCATCTGGACGTAAAACAATGACCTCCCATATACGTGGATATGACGTTCAATCCCGACCTCCCCTAGACGTCGAAAACAGGTCATCGGCCGTCCGACGCAGTACGTCTTGATCTAGCAATACAATATATAGGCTGTGAAGCAATGTAAGTGTACCTGACGGTAGTGTAGTGGTTAAGCAAATGTGTGCAGCCTTGGTTACGTGGGTTCGAGCCCACGTGTGTGTATTATTATCTTTACATATTTGTTTTGATTTTTAACGAACAATTTTTTTCTGTTAGGTTAAAGACTAATAAACACTCAACATAGGATTACGTAGTGGCTAATAATAAAACTTGTGAATGTACATAGGACATTTGTTGTGCTAACAATCTCAAGTTTGCAAATAAGGGGTGAGCACTTGAGATTTTATGCAAATGCATGGGTTCACAAGTTTTATTATTAGCCACTACATAATCTTATGTTGAGTTTTTATTTGTTTTTAACCAAACAGAAAAATTGTTCGCTAAAAAGTCAAAAGTCAAAAGTTTTCCGACAGGGATTTGAACCCGCGTCGTTGCAACTGAAGTCTCATTACGCAACCGCTACACCACCGCCAAGCATGTTTCTGACTACTGTGAAAAAACAATAGATAACACCCTAAACAACCGACGCACACTTATGCGCCGCGCGAGTATAGGCTTTACAGCCTGACACGTGAGTCGCTCGGTCGAGGACCTGTTTTCCACGTCTAAACGACGTAAGGTCTGGACGTAAAGCAATGCCTTCCCAGACGTTGATATGACGTTGAATCTGTACCTCTGTCGCTGCCCTACTTTATTTACTTGGAATCACCCTCTCTAGTAAGTACACAGTCTGCACAGTTTTTAGATATAGATGTATCATTTCCACTTTGAAAAGAGTTGGAGACAGAAACTCAGTTGTTTTCTCACGTATACGTGGATTTTGTTAAGTATATTTTGTATATTATCTGTATTTTGAATTGCCAGTGCATGAATCTATAATAATAACGGCTGGCACTGCTCAGCTGAAAGGGAGACACCTTTTTTTAGTTTTTAAGTTAAAGTTTAAAATATGATATTGTTTTTCATATTTCAAACTATTTTTAACACATTAGAATTCTTAGGTTAGACTGTCCAACAAAGTATGTGTTAAAAAAGGTTAAGATTCTTGAGTTTTAAAATAATAATTCAATTCTAAAATGTAAAGTTACTGTATATTTCACAATGGTTTATAAACTGCAAAAAGACAACAGTACTTAGTAAACTAAGTTTAAAAACAGGGAGATCAGCTTTAATATTTGGGACACTCCCATTATTTAGACACCTGTGATGTCATCAGTTGGAGTTGAGTTCAGATGTGGGACCATGTGGACATAGGGACCATAGGAGCACACAGATGTTACCTGCTGCAGAAAGAGAGTTTAATGTTCATGTATTGCTTTGTTTAATAAATGGATTTAATGTCTTCCCAGGTCTTCAATGTCAGAGACTTTCACTTCTTCTCACTGTGGCTGTTTAAATGAGCCACTACAGTTGTTGTTTTTTTATTGTTAGCTGCAAATATTAAATATCCATTCATCTGCTGGTAGCAAGCTAACTAACGCTTGCAACTCTATTCAATTTCTTACTTTTTCTTATAAACTTTAAAACCAGCCATATGTTAATTAAAATACATTTACCTTTGCTAATGCAGTCAATTATTGTGAAATCCATAGAGTATAATTTCATGATTGTTGCAATAACTAATGTTCTGTGTGTATTCCTAATGTGTCATGTGTGTTTGAGTCTTACAGGTGTCAGACTGTGTTGAAGGTGTTCAAAGGTAAGAATCACACTCTCACACATTGATTGTTCAGCAACTCACTCAAGATGAGGGAAAAGAGCAACAAGGGGAAAATGCCCCCTCGGAAATGCAACATGTGTAGAGTAATACAGGGTAAGTAGCTTTCAGGGCTCATTTGTGTCCATGTGCAAAACAAATGCACATTTGCAATTGTTTTTTACATGGAATTACTCCAATGACCAAAGCCTTATCCCAAGTTTCTCAGACGGAGTGTCTTCCAGTGTCTCGAGCTAGTGCAGTGCTAAGGTTTGTATCACATGGTGATGGATCGAGTGGTTTGAGGCATTAATAGAAAGTTATGTGTTGTTATATCACTTTGCCACATTATGTTGAAACTAAACATGTTCCACATTTTCAGGTGCTGTGCTTGGACCTTATAATGAGACTGAAGACCAAGAGAGGACACATGTTGGAACCTCAACATTCAATAAATGCATTCTTCTGCCTTTCAGATTGTGTTTTTACATCTGGGGAACCTAGAGTGTAGCTTGTGCCTGTTTTAATACTGATCCAAACATAGGCGCTACAATCATGTTTTTTTACTTTGGCATGAACTGTTCAGTACAGTAGTGTTCATAACACTGTGCCCTGTGTGGTTTAACTTGTACTTTGATGTAGAGAAACATGATTTTTAATGCAGCTCCATTTGCAATAATGACTGATATCCTTCTACTACAGTTGTTCTAATGTTTTTGAATTTTTGAATGCTGTGTTTATCGTTTATTGCTCAGAGTCAGAACTAAACATGATATAGCTGCATTTCAGATTCACAAGGCTAAAATCTGGAACGGTCTTCCTGGAAATGTGAGACAGGCTTCTTCTTTGACAATGTTAAAATCCAGGTTTAAAACACTTCTGTTTCTGCTTCAACTGAGAGATTTTATGAGAGATTTTATTTGTATCTTTTTAATTTACTGTCAATATTTATAATTGTAATGCCTTGTTTGATTGTTTCTATCTTTTGTTCAGTGCTTTGAGTTTCCTTTTGTTTTGACTGTGCTATACAAATAAACTTGCCTTGCCTATTGCAAAAAGTATGTCTCGACCAGTGAGTGATTCTGCAGAGGTTAAGTAGGTCAATAGGACTGTAAATGGACGTCATATAAACGTCAATATTTTGGTCATATAAGACGTCGAGAGGACGTCGGACCCGACCGGTTCTGTACCACATTGCAACCTTGAATGAACGTGGCCGCGACGTCATTTGAACGTCCAGATAACGTCCAGATGACGTTGAAATGACATAGTTTTGACATCTGCTTGCTTAGTGGGAACAACGGAAAACGAACGTCATATGAAGGCAATATTTTGGTCATATAAGACGTCGAGAGGACGTCGGACCCGACCGGTTCTGTACCACATTGCAACCTTGAATGAACGTCCAGATGACGTTGAAATGACATAGTTTTGACATCTGCTTGCTTAGTGGGAACGACTGAAAACGAACGTCATATAAACGTCAATATTTTGGTCATATGAGACGTTGATAGGACGTCAGACCGGACCGGTTCCGTACCACATTCAAACCTTGAATTGACGTGCCATCAACGTAACATTTGGAGGTTGAGGTGAAAACTTGAGAAAACTTTCATTCTGCACCCACCAGTGACCTATATTCTACGTCGGACAACGACGTTCAAATTACGTTGATTCAACGTCGGCTTGCTTAGTGGGTAATGTGTGCGTCTCCTGTGGTGCTTGTCTACAGTCAACTATCTGTGAGTTGACCAATTAAGTGACTAAATACTTGTGATACCTATATTCTGGATCTATAGTCTGTCCGCCCGTGCAGGGACCAGATCCTTCTCTCAATTCATTAATATTTATGAACATTGGTCATCTCACTCTCTGTGGACCAATGGCTCCAATGTGCTACTACAAGGTGACATCACAGCTGCTATATAAATTGGTCTTGATACAACATGTAGGAGAAATCATTCTGGAATATCGCAAGCCTTCCCATCCACACATATCTTTGTGTATTCTGTATCTATTAATTTGTTCAATATATGCACTGTGTAACCCTTTAGGCACAAACCAAACATACAGTATAACAAAGGACAGTTGTATTAAATTGTGAATAAAACTCATGATAACACAAACTTGATCCGATTACTAGTACCCAAAGAAATTCTTTATACCCTGGCTGAAATATGCTTATAATCCCTTTGTATCATTACCTATGTTTCTCAGAATACCAAAGGCAAATTACTTAATTGAACTGCTGTATAGTACTTATGTGTGTCATAACGTCTCCAATGTTCTCCACCTACCTTCCCCTTTGCCGTACTTGGAGGACGGAGACCAGGACACCGCATTCACGTACCCCAGCTCCCTGCACACCACCTGGGCCGCGTGCTGACTGAAATCATCGTCGCAAACCGTCCCCCACTGGCCTTCGTAGAAGACCTCCACGCGGCCCTCGTTGTGCTTGCGTTTGTCGCCCGCCAATCGCAGCTGAATCCTGGGCACATCGGCTGAGAGCTGTGGGGGCTGGTAATGCTCGTGCTCTTGCTCAGGGTAACTGGGCGGGTATTCATACTGCCCACAAGCAAGCTGCAGGAGCACGGGCAGAAGGAAGAGGTAAGAGGAGCTGGCCTTCATTGTAGTGGCTATGGAGAAGAGAAAACATGAAAGATTTGATTAAGATTAAAGAAGCTATCATCAATTTATTTTCAAATGAGTTCATAAAAATGCAAGTTGTATTAAAATCCGTAATTTAATTGAAAACTTGAGCTCATTGATTCAGCTTGTGTATGAATTGAGGCCGTACAAAGTGCTGAGTAGAAACTTAGCGTGACGCTCGTTCTCCTCCACTCACAGAACGAGGAGCGGCACTGTCACGAACAGGCTGCGTCCTCTAGCCTCTACAGCACTGGTAAACAAGAGCAGGATGGAGCTGATAGTGGCTATACTTCCTCTGGCTGTAACTGCATACACAGCAAAACAGCTGCTGTTTTGTTGTTGCAAACTACGCAACAGAGAGGAAGAGAAGAGGGAACTAAAGCACAAAAAACACTGTAATATTTTGCACTTAAAGGGCCCATGTGGCCTAAACATTGAAAATATGAGTGTTGATGCATTTCATATTAGTGACCACTGTTGCATTTCCTTCACTCTGTCACGTGTCATGATGCCAACTGTCTCCAATGTTGTTACACAAAAACGCATCATTAGTGAGACAACATTTAGTGATTTCTCTGTCCGATTTGACCCTCGCTCCTTTGTTGTTTGTGATGATGTTGATTCGTTTGTGCAAAGTTTCAACAGCCACTGTGTGTCTATTTTGGATTTGGTAGCACCTGTTAAAGATATTTCAGGATCACATAAAAAAGCCCATCCATGGATGAATGATGACATTTGTAGTTTTAGGAGAAAATGTCGGAAGACAGAGCGTCTTTGGAAAGCCACCAAATTAGAAGTACATAGACTTCATTTAAAAGACCTGATGCTGGAACTGAATGAAATGATAAAGCAGGCTCGCTCATCTTATTTTTCAAACCTTGTGTCAGGCAATAAGAAAAATCCAAAAATCCTGTTTGACACCATTGAAAATCTTTCTGCACCTTCAGCTCCTCTTGTGCCTGTGTACTCACATGAGGACTGTAATAAATTTTTGTCATTCTTCGTAAACAAAGTTCAAGACATTAGGGCAAACGTGAATCTTCCCCTAACCAGTGTTTGTTCCACTAAGTTGTCCCCGGTGTCATCTTGGTCGTCCTTCTCTCCTGTCAGCTTACAGGATGTGAACACTTTAGTGAATAACATGAAGCCTTCCTCGAGCCCGGCTGACATTGTCCCAACGTCACTATTTTTGAAAATGTTCAGTACTGTTGGCTCCTGTGTGGTTAAAATAATTAACCTCTCTCTTTCATCTGCCTCAGTCCCCAGCTACTTCAAGCATGCTGTGGTAAACCCAATCCTTAAAAAGCCCAATCTGGACCCTTCAGAACCTAAAAACTACAGGCCCATCTCCAAACTTCCTTTTATTTCCAAAATTCTGGAAAAAGTAGTGGCATGCCAGCTGACCTCCTTTATGGAACAGCACAATTTGTTTGATCCACTTCAGTCTGGTTTTCGTAAATTACACTCCACTGAAACAGCTCTTATCAAAGTTTCTAGTGATGTAATGATGGCAGCCGATTCCCAACGCTACACAGTTCTTGTACTTCTGGATTTGTCCTCTGCCTTTGACACTGTGGATCATAATATACTTATTGACCGGCTTCAAAATGAGATAGGGCTTTCTGGGTCTGTCCTCCAGTGGTTCTCCTCATATGTCCATGGCAGAACTTTTAACGTTGCTTTAAACAATGTACAGTCAGATGTGACTAATCTGTCCTGCGGAGTGGCACAGGGATCAGTTTTGGGTCCGATTTTGTTTTTATTGTACATTTTGCCACTTGGGTAAAATTATTAATCACTTCGAGGATGTATCCTACCATTTCTATGCCGATGACGTCCAGTTGTACTGTTCTTTTAATGACTCTGAGTTCCAGCGCTTGTCATCATTTTTGGAGTGTGTGTCCTCCATTAAAGACTGGCTGGCCACTAACTACTTACAGTTAAATTCCAACAAAACTGAAACGCTCATCTTTGCTCCAGACCATAAGATCCCGCTGATCAAACAGCACCTTGGCTCTCTTGGCTCCTCCGTCAAATCCAGCCTCAGAAACCTAGGGGTTGTGTTTGACCAGGCCATGTCTATGGAGACACACTCCAAACAGCTTGTCCGTAACTGCTTTTATCACCTTAGGAACATTGCAAAAATCCGCAATATGTTGTCAAAGAATGATCTGGAAATGATCATTCACGCTTTTATTTCAACAAGACTTGACTATTGCTACTCTGTTTTTACCTGCTTGAATAAGTCTGCACTCAATCAACTTCAAATTGTTCAAAATTCTGCTGCTAGACTTTTAACAGGTGCCCCTCGTAGGTCCCATATCACTCCTGTTCTGTCTGTTCTTCATTGGCTCCCAGTCAAATTCAGGATTGATTTTAAGATCTTAGTGCTGACCTTCAGAGCCTTAAATGGTCAGGCCCCCCAGTACATCCTGAACCTTTTGAGCCTGTACTCCTCTGGCCGTTCTCTCCGGTCCTCTGGCCAGAACCTGCTTGTGGTCCCCAAAACCCATTATAAGACTCGAGGGGACCGGTCTTTTCAGTCTGTTGCCCCCAGACTGTGGAACGCCCTGCCCCTGTCCCTACGTCTGGTCGACTCTGCGGACTCTTTCAAAAAAGGCTTGAAGACTTATTTATTTAAGAAAGCTTTTAGTTGATTGGGTTCTCACTGATGTCACTTTTAAGTACATAAAATGTGTAATGTGTGTAAGTGTATTTTATATTGTTTTGTATTTGCCCACTGTCCTGTACAGCACTTTGTGATTTTTATCTGTGAAAAGCGCTTTATAAATAAACTTTACTTACTTACTTACTTACATATCACGGTTTTTGACTTTTCTCCGCTTTAAACGTGATTACAATGCTATTTGGCCTTCATACACAAGCCCACAGTAGTTTATTCATTGATTCTGTCAATCTTTTGTAAGAGAGCAATCTGTCTCCTTCCCCAGCGTGAGGCACAGAAACGCTCGGGTCCACTTCAGTGACGAAAACCACACTGATGACGCGCATGACGCGCATGACGTGCATGACCCCGTTTGCTTTGTATTTAAAATAGTTGTTAAATACTTTTGTCAAAACGGGGTAAACAATACACAATTAGTATGCTGTTTTTTGTCAAAAATAAAAAAAATAAAAATAAATTAAAAGCCGGCGGGAGGTGATTGACGGATCAAAACAGCGAATCAGAGCGCACAGGCTCCGGCTCCCGAGTCCAGCGTCTGTGGTCTGGTCTCGCGGACACCACATAGAGCTGCTGTTTTTATGCTTTTGTCAGCAACTAAAAGTGTTAGGATCACGTCAACTTGAATGAAGTGTGTTATGGGTGTAAATATGTGACACGCTATTTGGCCTTAAGAGGAAGAAAGCGGCTCGACTTTTTTCATCTGTTCATCTCATGGATCTATTATAATACCGGGTCATCTGCGACACTTCACTGAGACTGTTCCAGAACTACAGGGACAATGGAACTGGACTTACTCAAAAGCTGATCTGGAAACACGTTATTCCCACGGTAAAAGACGTAACTCGGACCCCCTCGAACTGTAAGTAGTGACGCTAACTCGCTGTATACTTCTGTAAACTAAATAACTAGGGTCTGATTGTGCATCGAGGACATAGGGCTCGATGTGACGGATTGTCATTGTTGGAAAAAGTTTATTCTTATGTATGAAATTACTAAGTACAGGTGATAAACGACAAAAGCGTGATGCTACGTCACCGGGCGGGCGGGGGGAGGCGGGCGGGGGGAGGCGGGCTCACAGGCAGAGGAGCAGACTCTTCTCTGGATCAGCTCGTTTGAGTCGAGGTGACGTCACCTCTATACAAGAGATGGCTCTAATCTCACAAGCTTTGATTGTTGTGTGGTGTATCATACACATTAATATCACACATGTGTATAGGATTGAGTGTGAAACATGAAGAAAAGCACGATATAGGACCTTTAATAAAATTGAAAGTATAATTTGAAAAAAAGTATAATTGAAAAATATGATTCTGCCAGAATTTGTTCACTTCAAGTACCCTTTACAAGTACTGAAAGGGGAACTGTCAAAAGTTGTCAGAACACCAGCATTATGTTTTAATATAAAACACAAAAACCTGATCTGATTGATCTGATCTGGATGTGTAGACATAGACCACATTCCAAAGTTGACAAGATCCCTGGTGATCATGACCTGAAGAGTATTGTGAGTCATCAGATTCAGGTAATTTGACTGATTTTAGTGTTAGGACTTGATCGTGGGAATCTTTACATTGTCCATGGACAATGGATCAGGAAAAGATCTGCATTAGTGAAACACCCCCCTAGTGGTAGAAGTGGAATTTCCGTCACACACTAGGTTCAAAACTAGGTTGAATACATCTGTTTAGCTGTGCATACAACTGATTTTATTTTGTACTATTATTCTATTTTTGTCTCTTCAATCTGTTCTCTTTATGCATTCTAATCTCAATTTATAATTGCTCTTGTCACTTTTAACCCCAACTGAATGACACACACACCACACCACACATGGTGTGTGTGAATGGTTGGTGGTGGCCGGATCAAAGGCACATACTGGTTGCCTCGCTGCTGTTAGTGTGTCACAGGGCAGCTGTGGCCACAGTATAGTAGTTTATCACCACCGTGTATGGAGTGAATGAATAATGACATGTGAAGCGTCTTTGAGTGTCCAAAAAAATCGCTATATTATATATATATAAAACCGATGTATTATTATTATTAACTGTTGTGATAGTTCTGGGGACTTGTATTTTGAAAGGCCCTGATCATGCTGCCTAATTACAGAGTTTGTATCTTAACTCTGCTCATTGGTCGGTTGCTGGAAAACCTCTCTCAACAGTTTCCTTCAAGAGTTCCGTTTGGAAAAGGCAGAACAAAGTGATGTCATCCCCAGCGGACCGTCATTTATGTGTTTCTCATTTCAGGCAATTTCCTGCCATCATGTCGGTGCTCATACCTTTCACAAAAAAGCAGGAAAAGAACCAGTTTCTTTCGTTTCAATACATTTCTTTCTCAATATTAGAAGATTGATCTGAGTGTCACCATCCCTACTTGGCTCTACTCTACTCTACTGACTGTTTAACTACGACCAGGTACTTTTTTAGTACTTTTAAGCAGTTTCCAATGATTACTGCTTTCAACAGTCTTCAGGTCTTCATTATTATTATTCTTACAGTATTATTATCCATCCATCCATCCATTTTCTATCCTTTAATCCATTTCTGGGTCAGGGGGGTGGCAATCAGAGATGCCACCCAAGTCTCATAGCACCAGCCCCTCACTGACCCTCTGCAGGTGGTGAGTCCACAGGAGGACGGCTGCTCTCTGAGTGTGAGCACCACTGAAAGATCAGTATTATTATTGTTATCATTATTATTATATTTCAACTGTGAAATTCAAATTATCTTTTTGGAAGACATTGGGACCAAGCTTGTATGTGCATAAATCACTTGATCAATCAAATATCGCATCAAATCCACTTAAAAATGCCTACATTTAAAAATTCAAATTTTTATGTGTGCAAAAAAGCCAAAACCTCCCAATATTCTATAGTCTAACCTTAAACCACATTACCTCTGTGACTGTCTAAATAGTAGACCTAGAAAGTAGTATTATGTATTTAAAAATGTTCGGCACCACAGCTTGAGAAGCCTTACATCATCAGCATGGTGTTGTAACGTGGCAGCGGCCGGTTACACAAGCCTGGGACTGCGCCGTTTGCAGACGGACAGAAGCGCACTGCTTTTGGCCCCAGCAGCAGAAGTGTCCAGGCTAAAAAAACATCTGCTCACATGCACTCCACGTGAGGCTACAGCAGAAAAACAACAAGGCACTTTTCTGTCCCCTGAATCGTCCATTCCAAACTCAAAACTCTGGCTTTTTACTTGCTTTAGATACGGAATTCCAAGAGCCAAAAAGGTTGAAATATAAAACCAGCCTGAAGGTTTTGGTTCAACGTGAATGCCAGATGTTGTTGTGGAGAAACGTCTTTGAACTAAAACATCAAAAAACAATTGAAGAGTTAAGCTGCAAAAAGCAGACATAATCAATCCTCAATATGTTTTGTTATTGGCTGTACATTCTATAGAAATTGCAAAACTTTATTGGTAAAGCACTGCAATTTACAGCTTTTAAATGTACAGCCACTTCGAATGTGGTTTTCAATACAATGCAATGATTTTTCACAAAGCCTGAGAGTTACACATGTGTGTCAGAGGAATAAAATGAAGGGTATCAAGAGAAAAAGATGATTTTAAGATAAGATAGGATGGATTTATGCTCAGGCCCTTTTTAGACAAAGATGTTGCGGAGACGCTGCAAAGTATTTTGCAAAAACAACCAGGCTCCGCATTCGAATTGCACAGCCTCTACACAACGACGGAGAACAATGGAGTTCTAGCGCCCGGCCAGTAGGGAACAGTGGAATTTTACAACACAACACGCGCGACCCCCACCAGTATAACCACTTACATTATGAAGGCATTTGCTGATGTGTTGGGTTAAATTTCATTTTCCTGAGAAAATAGATGATATAAAACATGGCTTGGTAAACCCATAACCATCAATGCAGCAAGTCATTAATAATATTCATTCATTCATTTTCTGCCCCTTTGTTAGTCCATTTCTGGGTCGGGGGGGGTGGCGAAATGACAGCTGCAACCCAATCCTCATAGCACCTCATTAATAATAATTGATTATCATTTCAGGTGCCACTAAATCTGTCTTGAGGGCCGAGTTTGGCTTGCCTGGTCTAATGGATACACAACCTGGTAGAGTAGAGTATAGAAGAGTAGAGCCAGGTAGAGCTGGTAGAAATAAGGCTCTTATTATAACTGTTGGTAACTAGTTTCGAGATACTTTTGTCATGAAACACAATAATATTTTTGTAACTCAGTAGTTCGTCACTGTTTGCAATCATATTTCATAAAACTTAGACCTTTCTACTCCTGAAACAGCACAAGTATCCAGATACAATTTCCATACAAGAGCCCTATCATTCAAATACAATTAATGATATAATTTTGTACCAAACATCACTTAAATTAACTGTCCTTATGTCCACGTGTCTATTAGGGCTGGGCGATAAAGCCGTGATCTAATTCACAATATTAAAACATCTTCAGAACTGCTTCTGGCTAACGTAAAATGTGTGTGTGGACCTCTCAAATTAAGAGTGAATAGTTAAATCACATTATTACAGTTTATTATTGTGCTTATGCAAAATCAAAAAAGGAAAGATTAATTTCCCGTGCAAAAGCCAAAAGAGACATCGCTCTGACACAATACTGTAGTGTAGCCTTATGCCCACTTATAACGTGAGCCTTCAGTCACCATATTTCAATGGTTAAATGGATATTCATAGAAATTGTTTGATTAGTCAATTACCTGAACAAAAACACTTGTATGCCTCTCATTAAACCATTGTTTAGAAGTGCAGCTCCAGGGTTTTGGAATTGACAATATTAGGGTAATATAAAGACACAACAGATTTTTTATTATTTCAAACCACAAACAAATGTAATCCTGTATCACATGCATGTAATGTTGTCACATATTTAGATCTTTTAAAAAGAAACATTAAAATTAGAGGACCACCCTCGTCAATCAGCTCTCAAACCCAAAGAGTCAAATATTGACACGCAAGGCTCTTTCATAAGATTCACAATGACAATGAAATGTGTTGTCATTATGAAGATGAGAAGATAAAGACAGCATGCTGTTGTCAACAATTTACTATTGCAAAACTATTTCTTTTGAGACAAATTTAAACGGATGAAAAGGGTTATGTACGCTTTAGGTCAAAATACGCCTTGGGTTCAATTGGCAAGAATAATAGAAAAAGGAGATAACCAATCGTTCTATCCTAGCTATATCTTTATCTATCTACATATCTGAAAATTGTTTTCAAACTGTGATAAAAGCCACAAGAAAGTAGAGTAAACACACTAACGATGCAGTGTTTACAAGTTAGAAACCATAACGTTACGTTTTAAAGTTTTCTTTAGCATTTGCAGAGCTACTTCTTGACGTCAGTGTAAAGTAGAACTATGGATAAAAGCATGTTTCTAAGATGGAAAACATAGAGCTTACTTTTTTCTCGGTGGTCCGCTGCTGCTCATCGACTGTAACGGCTGCTCCTCGGGTCTCGGTCCTCGGCTGCTGCAGGCTCCACTCTCGGCTCTACTTTCACTTGCTCTCGGTCTATGATGTCATCACGGGTCATCCCCACAGTGCTGTGGCCACGCCCCCGCACAGGCATGAGCTAATCGCGCACGACACACGCGCATACGTGAGAAACAGCACACGCGCGTCGACATCTGGAGAAAGGAGTCCGTGGAGTTTACGACACGTTGTGGAGAAAAGAATAAAACCCGTGTCCTTTCACCTGGGGACAGCCGAGGACACAGCTTTGACGAGTAACACAGGCTATACTAAATGTTCTAATAAACTACTAAATATTAAGAGGGGTCAGGAAGAGAGACATTTGTCCACAGATAAGGTCGATGTGAGGGTACATATACCCAGAGTGAAATACACCATAGGTAGTGCTGAGGGGACACTTACCATGGATCTATAATAATAACTGGATAGGGTATTACTAGCTTATAGCTGTCCCACCCATGGACACAGGGGGTGCTCGTGGTGCTGCAGACTAAATTCATGTGGGCTACCCAGAAAAAAGGTCCATAGATCTCAATGTAAATTAAAACAGCTCGACAGAACCTATACAACTTTCAGAAAGATCGTGTTTTGTGGGAATTTTAGTGTCCCTTGTCATCCTGAACTTTTGTTCTTCTTAAATCCTTCGGTTTTCTTTAAATCAACACTTTAATGATACAAACTCTGCTCCTTTCCTTCCCGCTCTGGCTCCGCTCCGGCTCCGCTCTTCCGCTGCTCTGATGAGCAGCTCTGATTGGTCAGAGCGCAGCCGAGCCCCTCTGTGCGCGTGCATGAGAGCCCATGTGAGACCCATACACGCGCATTTGGCGCGGCGCATCATGGGAGATAATCCACTGCGGAGAACCGGGAGGACAAGACGATGCCCAAATATAGGCGAGTTCAGCTAATCTCCCGGTCTCCGTGAAGTCCCATGTGTCACTCCCGTATTCGCCCCGGAAACAGGATTTGTCCGGAAGTTCAGTTTGATCCAATGAGCATACGCAGCAGTAGATTACGTCACGGAATCTGGACGGAAGCGGAAGTAAATATAAAAAACTACCTATTCAGGTGTTAGTATTAGATAGCAATATGGCCTACGTGCAGGACTGTACAAGGACTCCATGTTATGACTATGATGTGACTGTCTCTGTGTGACACGTACGTCTTTCGATGTGTGATGTCACAATGACTATATAAACTGTGTACTGACTCCATTCTGTCTGAGAGAAAGAAACAGAGGAAACCACTGGAACTTGAGAGAAACTTAAATAAACTTCCAGAGTTTGGCGCACACTGAGCCGCACATCCTCCACCAAATCTGTCAGGGATAAAGCAGACAGAGACGGATCGTGGAAGTTTATTTAAGTTTCTCTCAAGTTCCAGTGGTTTCCTCTGTTTCTTTCTCTCAGACAGAATGGAGTCAGTACACAGTTTATATAGTCATTGTCACGTCACACATCGAAAGACGTACGTGTCACACAGAGACAGTCACATCATAGTCATAACATGGAGTCCTTGTACAGTCCTGCACGTAGGCCATATTGCTATCTAATACTAACACATGCCTAAACTTAACCAGCCATTCCCATAAAATAACCCCAACCCAGCCTTAACCCTAACCTTAACCATCTTAATCAGACGCCTAAACTTAACCAGTCACCACTTAAGGACATATTAAACTTTTGACATGCGCAAAGTAAACTGAACTTCCGGACGAATACGGTTTCCGGGACGAATACGGGAGTGACACCATGCGCTACTGAGCACAAGCCGTTCATTTGAATGGGCCGCCATCTTGGATCACCCGGGCTTGACACTAACTCACAATATTATTTAATTTCACACACAAAACGTCCTCTTAATGTGAAGGGGCATCTGTAAGTCAAGTGATCAGATGTAATGAGAGTTTTGTAACTTAAACTTCACAGCAGCTTCAATTCACATGGACTGTAAGGAATTATATATTTATACTAATATAATATATCCCCATATACCTTAATATTAACAAAAACGACACATCCTCATCTGACAGGGAAACTGCAGCTTTCTCAAAGGTTGGAGGTGTCCCTTGTCATCGTGAACTTTTTTTCTTTATAAAAATCCATCCATCCATTTTATTACGCTTCATTCGTTGCCAGATCGTGGGGGCAGCAGTCTAAGCAGAGATGCACATTCCCTATACCCACACACTTCTTCTAGCTCATCGGAAGGGGACCCGAAGGCATTCCCAGGCCAGCTGGGAGATAAAAGTCCCTCTAGGGTGTCCTGGGTCTGACTGTTCAGAACAATCTCATGCTCAGGTGCACGTTGCAGGTCCTGATTTGTTGGAGCCAACAGGACAACATCGTCCGCAAACAGTGGAGATGTCCTGTGGTCTCCGAACCGGACCCCCTCCAGCCCCTGGCTGCGCCTAGTAATTCTATATAAGTCTATAAATGCAGTGAACAGAACCGTTGACAAAGGGCAGCCTTGGCTGAGACCAACGTGCACCGAGATTAGGTCTGACTTAATGCCAGTGTAACGTCAAAGTTTCATGTCAAGTTTGGTTTAAGCAGTCAACTGCTCCTGTGAAACCACACTGCTACTGTTTTGATAGCAGCACCTTTCTTGTTGAGTTGAACTGCCGCATACGTCATTTTACTGACGTAGATTGATGACGCGTCCTGTGGCTAACTCGACAGCTAATAGATCCATGCATACAACTTAGATTTTGTTTATTATTTCCATTATCAACCCGACTGACCAGTTAGTGGCTAACAGCTGTTGAGTTAGCCACAGGACACTATCAAAACAGGAGCAGTGTGGTTTTACAGGAGCAGTTGACTGCTTAAACCAAACTTTACACAAAACTTTGACTCTTAAAACACACATATTACAACATGGAACCATCAACATCTCGCCTCAAATTGCATCAAAAGTGACATTTGTGTCTTTATTCGTTCATATTTAAACTTTTAAAGCAATTCACGGACCTAATGTCCGCCATCTTGGTTTGCTTTGGCTGCTGTGAGAGGCGCATGCGCAGGTTTGCATTACATCATAGACCAGAGGCTACTCCACCTCTGCTGCTGTGACCCGTCCTGCTCCACCCAGAGACTACTCCATCTATGCTGCTTTGACCCGTCCTGCTCCACCCAGAGGCTACTCAATCTGTGATGCTGCGACCCGTCCTGCTCCACCGAGAGGCTACTCCGTCTCTGCTGCTGTGACTTGAAGGGCTGTGGCTGATTATTACTATTGTTATCTTTTTTGTTTGTTTAGAATGATCAATTTTCTTTTTGCTACTACTGGACACCTGAATTTCTCCTTCGGGGGAATCAATAAAGTGTCTGTCTGTCTGTCTGTCTGTCTGTCTGTCTGTCTGTCTGTCTGTCTGTCTGTCTGTCTGTCTGTCTGTCTGTCTGTCTGTCTGTCTGTCTGTCTGTCTGTCTGTCTGTCTGTCTGTCTGTCTGTCTGTCTGTCTGTCCGTCCGTCCGTCCGTCCGTCCGTCCGTCCGTCCGTCCGTCCGTCCGTCCGTCTGTCTGTCTGTACAGCTGAGGCAGTGCGTCTCGCAAACCAACGGTACACCGGCATTGCCAACACAGCTCTGTCCGGTCATACAGGGCCTCCCGGACAATCCCCCAAAGGACACCCCGGGGGAACACAGTCAAACGCCTTCTCCAAATCCACAAAGCATTTATGGACAAGCTGGCCAAACTCCCATGATCCCTCGAGTATCGGATGGGTCCAGTGTTCTGCAGCCAGGACGAAAACCACACTGTTACTCATGAATCCGAGATCCATCAGACGTAGTCTCCTCAACAGTACCTCTGAGTAGATCTTACTGGGGAGGCTGAGGATTGTGATCTCACAATAATTGGAACACACCTTCCGGTCCCCCACTCTCGTAGAGAGGGACCCCCACCACGGTCTGCCACTCCATTGGCACCGCCCCTGATGGATCTTTAGAAATGAGACTCAAAACAAAGAAAGAGACAACAACATTTACAATCGTACTTCTGAGTATTTGTTACTGCATGATTAGGTAAAGTAAGTTCATTTGTCTAGCACAGATCATATACGAGGCAAATCTGTGCTAAACAACACAATACAGCAACAATTATACAAATACATTAAAACTAGCAAAGACACAATCCTTCAGTTGTATGCACAGCTGAACTGTTTTAAACCTGGACTGTCTGCATAGAAGCCTGTTTCACCTGTTCCAGATTTTAGCTGCATACATCTGAAACGCTGCCACCCCATGTTTAGTCCTGACTCTGGGAACCAGCAAGAGGCCAGTCCCTGTGCTCTCTGTGTACTCAGAGTCTGAGTTGGTTATTATGGCACAACATCTCTCACGGATGTTATTTCTCATGCTTTTGATGATTATGGCATTATGGGTTTTTTTCTTCCTTTTTTTCTTTTTTTTTTACATTGAGCCAATTATCAACATTACTAAAAAGTATGATAACAACGTCCAATTTTCAAGTTTCACCTATGGCCTATATGGCTCCCTGTTGTATTCAACTTGTGGCCCGGTTACCACAAGTTGAATACCCGGTCCTTTTCCCCTGTTTATTGATTCACATTCAGATTTGGTTTCAGTCTGTTACGTACATTCGGGGACACAATCTGGTACGTTGTTGAAAACTCAACTTTTCACTCAAAACGAAAACAACATAAAAAACTGCTAGCGCAGACAACTCCTCAGATGGTGCTTCCCAGAGCTATACGCTTGCAATCATGCTGTTGTTCTCATGCTTTAGTTTATAATTATTTGACATATCTTAAAACAAATATAATGCTGATTTATTTTACAGAAGGATCGTATGTGCATTTTAAAGGCCCACAAGCCATGGCCTTCTGAAGGAACTGCATGTGTTTATGTGTGTGTGTGTGTATGTGCGTGTGTGTGGGGCCCCTCCTCAGCTCCTTATCTCTGTAAAACCTCCACACATTCTCCAGAGTTGCAGCTATAACTAAATGTGAGGGACAATACCTGTCCTTGGGCTCTAGTCTGGCTGAGATCACTGCATCACATGGAGATTTTGTAATTTTTCATGTCTAAAGTTTGTTTTTTAAACATTTTAAACTACACTCAATGCTCAACATCTTCTTTATTGTCCCAAGATGCAGGGAGACTAAATTAATTCTAGTCTCTTTTCTTCGGCTCGTTTCTTTGTTAGGCTCTTTGTTTCCAATTTTTTTTTCCTTTTACATAAAACTTCATAAACACTGTAATCAGATATGTATACACAGTCTCCTGCAGCCTTTTATTTCTTTTCAATAATATAAAAGCTTGTACTCACTGCTTTCCCACATCAAGAGTAGCCAGCTTAGGTGGCTCAGGCCCCTGTTTGGACCAGGAGGCCCTGAAAAAGACCATAGACACACAGAAGGACTGTGTCTCTCAGAAGACTGTGTCTCTTAGAGGAATGTGTCTTGTGCAGATTCCCATGTCATATTTTGGTTTGGTTCTGGACCTGTGTGCATTTGTGCTTGTTTTTTTGAAAATTAAAAAAAATACTTGTTTGGTATGGAACTAACAGAACATGATATTTATGAAAAGGCCTTAAAAAGTGACAGTGGCCGACTGTTAACATTCCTTTTACATAATCTGAAGAGCAGTTTGTCTGCAGCGCAGAGATACGCACTGAGCAGGAAGTGACTCTGCAGCGCTCACAGGACACGGGCAACGTCTGAAATATACTGAAATATACATGCGTTCATGATCAACCCTCCACATGTAAAGTACCTATACTTTTCTGATCAGCACCTCATGATTTTCCAGACAAGTTGTGAAACAGCTGCAGTATATTCAAAATGTTGAAGTTTGAGTCCCGACTAGAATCAGGAAGTATGCCATTGGATCTCAAAATCTCAATTATCCAAAGGCAAAACATTTCCAGTCTATAGGCAAGGCGAGGCAAGCTTATTTGTATAGCACAATACAAGGGAACTCTAAGTGCTGAATATATTAAATAATATAATATAACATAAAATATTATAGCATTAATATCATAAATAATCATAAAAAGAAAGATACAAATATAAAATCCCTCAGCTATATGCACGGCTTTAGCAACATGCCAAATCAGCAAACTCAAAACAATGACCATTGAAGTCCTTCAAAACACTAACAGAGGTGGAGACAGACTGAAAACCTTATCAAAGAGAGAAACATACAGATTCAGATTCAGATTCATTTATTTGCCATTTGCAGTAAAACCACATAGGAAAAACTGTGCAAGACTACCCCGGTGTGCACCACACACACCAGAGCTCTTGCCACGGCGGCATCTTTACGGCGCCATGCGCCAATACTCTAAAAGCAATGATACAAGGGGGCCCAATGAGACTTTTATGAAAATTTATGAGATAAGATCAACTTTATGGATCTCACACAAGCCTCGTTGATCCAAATGAATGGCTTGTGCTCATGGATCTATAATATTAACTGGATAAGGTATTACTAGCTTAGAGCTGTCCCACCCATGGGCACAGCCCGTGGTACTGTAGACTAAATTCACGTGGGCTTCCCAGTAAAAAGTCCCATAGAACACAATGTAAACTAAAACTGCTCGACCTCAGCTGACAGAGAACCTACAGCTTTCATAAAGGTCGGATTTTGTGGGGATTTTAGTGTCCCTTGTCATCCTGAACTTGTTTTCTTCTTAAATCCTTCGGTTTTCTTTAAATCCAAACTTCACTGCCACTAACTCTGCTCCGTAGGGGCGACAGTGGCTCAGTTGGTAGAGCATCGTCCTTTGAGCCTGAAGGTTGTGGGTTCGAGCCCACCATAAGACCTACTTCACAACTCCCACTGATGTCTGCTGTCGTTGTGTCCTTGGGCAAGACACTTAACCCCACTTTGCCTGAAGCCCCCACTGAAATATCAAGGCTCATGTGGACTCACCACCTGCAGGAGGATCAGTGAGGGGCTGATGCTCTGTGTACTGGGTGCAGCTCTGACTGGCACCCCCCCGACCCAGAAATGGATAAAGGGGAAGAAAATGGATGGATGGATGGAACTCTGCTCCTTTCCTTTCCGCTCTGACTCTGTCCACTGCGCTACTGAGCACAAACAAGCACCGCCCTATTCAAATGAATGGCTTGTGCTCAGTAGCGCATGGGACTTCACGGAGGTCGGGAGATTAGCAGAACTCGCCTATATTTGGGCATTGTCTGGGCCTCCCGGTTCTGCGCAGTGGACGAGCTCCCATGATGTGTTGCGCCAAATACGTGTGTGTGGCTTTCATGAACGTGCACAGAGGCGTATTTGGCCGCGCTTTGACCAATCAGAGCTGCTGATCAGAGCAGCAGTAGAGCGGGAAGGAAAGGAGCAGTTTGTGGCAGTAAAGTGTGGAAAGAAAACAGAAGGATTTAAGAAGAAAAAAAGTTCAGGATGACAAGAGACACAAAAATCCCCACAAAATACGATCTTTCTGAAAGCTGTAGGTTCTCTGTCAGCTGAGGTCGAGCTGTTTTAATTTACATGGAGTTCTATGGGACTTTTTATGGTAGCCCACGTGAATTTAGTTTGCAGTACCACGGGCCCATGGGTGGGAGAGCTTTAAGCTAGTAATACCCTATCCAGTTATTGTTATAGATCCATGAGCACACAATGGAGAAAAAAATTGTGTTTTCAAATACTAACAGGAAGGGAGATACATTTTATTTATTTTTTTACTTACGGAGCTACAGTTATTAGTGTACAAACATGTCTGTACACCTTTTTACAAGTGTATTTCTGAGTATGTTTACGTGGAGTTGATATTTATGTGCCAGGTTGATTATCCTCACCTAAATGTCGCATTTATGGCATTTGAAAAAAAAATGTTTTCATATGCTGTATGTAAGTAGCCTGACAGGCTTTGATTACATTTAAACCACATCTGGTACTTTTAGTCTTAAACACATGCCCTAAAGAAGGCTCTACGTGGCCGAATTGCGTAGCATCCCTGTACATTAAAGGATTTTAATTTAAATGTCAAGAGTGCCTTGGATTTTTCCTCATCTCTAGAACCAGGAAGTCCTATCACATTGGTCCAGTTCTTCAAAGCAGCTCTGCTTATGCACAAGTCTCTCCATGGCCTTGCACTAAAGTACACCTGTGATTTATGTGCTGTTAAAACAGAGACGCAGCGACAGTAAAACAATAGAGTTGGGTATCGGATTGGCCTTTCGTTCACACAGACGATGTTTCAGGGGGTGAATACATCGTGCGGCAGGGAGCTCTTTAACAGCAGTGTGAAGAAATTTCATTTTTTCATTTATTTGTTCCTCTCAGCCCATAACAGTACACATTTGTACACACAACAAGCATCCAAATGCACAATGGTGCATCAGTGGGCAGACCACACCAACAAATATATACAATCCACATCACTAATGCACCTGTGCACATAAAAAATAAATAAAACCAGCTTTACTTTACATACTGTAGGCCTTGTTGGTATTATACACAAATTGCTCCATGAGCTCAAAATGGAGTGGGAAGAAGAAAAACTTATAAACTCCCACCCCATGTATATTATGGTAAATCATAGCAGTTTCGTAAAAAATAGTAATAACTCATCCAATCGCATCAAATTTGAATGATACGCCACAGCGGGCTCAGCACCTCAGCCCTGACCGGTCCCCGAAACAACAAGCAGCACTATAGCAGCAGACAAACTGCACAGAGGATGATCTCAGCAGCACACAACAGCCCTCCACAGCCATGCCCCGAGTCATCACCCCAGTGGGAAATACATGCATGTTTCCTGTATACAGTATATGTATATCATAGACTGTAAATATTATATATATACCAATTCCCCGCACATACATTTGAACATGCGCAGTAGCCGAGAACAAGCGTAAACAACAATGGCGGCGGGTCAACTAATGCTATGTGTGCGTCAAGCGTTACACGGAGGAGCAATTCTACTCCTTCGTTTGTCCAAACAAAACCACTTGAAGCTCTAGTTCCAGTGCATTCTTTCACGTCTTTGCAGTGGCCAGAGGAGCATGTTGTTGAGGAAGTGATTATACTGGTGGGGGTCACATGTGTCATGTTGTAAAGATCCACTGCCCCATACTGGCCGGGCGTTGGAACAAAAAATGTTCTGGTCGTCGTGTAGACTCGTCGTGCCTGGTTGTTTCTGCAAATTGCTTTGCAGGGTCTCCGCAGCGTCTCCGTCTAAAAGGGGCCTTTTAGTACAATAATAATAATACCTTGTTTATATTGCCGCTTTCATTTCCACAACACCTCAAAGTGCAACAGATTACAGTACAGTACAAAAACATAAAAAGTACATAATATATTAAAAACATAACAATAACACATGGAGGCATTAAAAGCTCATAAAATCCCTAATAGACTTGCTTGTGCCTTATGAGCCAACTTGGACTCAGATGAACACAGGGACTGGCCTGTCCCTGTAGTGTCCAGAGCATAGACTGTAGTCAGGACTAAACGGGAGGCAGCATTAAAACAGCTCTGTTTAGCTGTGCATACAACTGAAGGATTGTGTCTTCACTCCTTTAAATGCACTGTGATTATGAATTATTGTAATCCCCTGTGTTATGTTTATGTTTCTTTCTCTTGTTCTATGAACTGTGAAGCAGTTCGTAATACTTTTTGTGTAGAACGCCCTCTACAAATATAAAGATTGATCTTGGGTGTAGCTGTATCCCTGGTGTAGGCTCTATCCCGGGTGTCAGCTCCCTCCCGGGTGTCACATCTACCCGGGTAGGCGGTGGCACGTGTCTGGACATGCCCCTTTCAGCGCCCTAAAAGCGCCCCACCCCCGCGCACTTTGCATCACTCACAAGCCGGCTTCTGTCGTGCGTAGAACGACCTGCCTTTCCCCAAAAGCACACACCAACTATTCACTATCGACCACCAACTACCAGTTACCACCACCAATCTGGAGCCATGAATTTGACTTTTCAGCGGTGAGAAGTCCACAGCCAAAGTTGGGGACATGGCGCGGCGGATTATTCACTTTTGGGTAAGTTTTACGCACTTGCGTCATTCGTCACGCGCGATGTCTTGTTTGTGATTACCTTCCTCCATTGGAAGCTAAGAACAGTTTTTCAACTGTATTCACGTTGTCTTAAAGTCCATGTTTAATCCACATTTGCCCAGGTTTCCAAGAATGTCGCATCTGTGCTGGAATTTTCCTTAAATATCCAACTATTTTGTTTAAAGCCAAGATGCGAAATTCCTCTAAAAGTAGCACGTGGACTCCAAAACATTTTCAAGTCCTGTATTTACTTTGCCTGATCCCAAACGACCTGAGAGAAAACACTAGCTGTTTATCCGCACCAGTGCTCGTGCGTAATGAGAGGTAATAAGGTACCCCTTATTACCTTATGGCCTTTGTTTACCATTTGGATTACCACGTTCTCAAATCCATATAGTTGAAGTGTTTCAGAAAAATATTGTTACAATAAGTTATAATGTGCAGGTATTAGGCCAGGGGTACAATGACTGTTTTATTTTGACAAAAGAAAATATTAGATAAAGATGATTGAACAAGAAAGTTCAAAGAAATGTATTCAATTTAACATTTTATCTATGGATATTTGGCGGAGAGACTGAAGAAATTGGCTAGTTGTTATTAGTAAAAAAACAAAAACAAAAGTGTCCAATCCCACGTGATATGACGACTCAACCTAAAAATTCCATGTGTAACTTTTGCTATAATAAAAACCCAATTTTTAACCCTTTCCTGGAAGTGTTAAAGGGTTAAAATGAGTGCTAAAGTAGGACTACATTGGATGGATTCAGAAGTCAAATGTATGACAAATAGTAAATAATATTGAGATAAAGTGATATTCTTGTCATGTGTTCAAACGGTGTCTCTCATGTCTCTAAACCATAGATCGTTTAGATCAGGGGTGGTCATATTGTGGAGGGCCAGACCTGTTATCACACGTTCACCATTTTTCATTTTACTTGACAAAACAATTTTCTATTTTCTGTGAAACTAAGCTACTAAAGTGCCAAATTGAAATTGTGTCCTTAGGCAAGACACTTCACCCATATTGCCTAGAATGAGTGGTGTTTGCGTGAATGCTTGGTGGTGATCTGAGGAGCTGATGGCACATACTGGTGGCCTCGCTTCTGTCTGTTTATCACCACCTTGTAAAGAATAAATTAATAATGACATGTGTTGCATGTTATTGAAACTAATGCATCGTTATTATTATTGTTGATAATGAAATAAAAACTCATATTTCTCCTATATTTAACTGCAAACTACCCATTGAGATTCAAAGACCTCTTTTGCTATCCTGGTCAAGAGGCATTAAACGTGGCCTTCAAAACATTTCGTACAGTTTAAAGTATTATACTTCGGACCAGTGGTCAATCCTTATACGGCTCATATATGGATTTACTTCTCTATTGGGCCGAATTGTTTATTCATGTACTGTCTTAAATGGGAATGTAGAACTTTTAATTTGTCAAGTTCAAAGAATTATGTATTTCCTATTCAACAGCTGTAAGTTTATTGTATTTTAAAACGGGTTGTTCAATGGTTAATTGAAAGGACTTACTTTCGGCCATCACATCATATTTCCCTGGATTGAGCTGATTGTAGATTTATTGGCCACATTCCTTTTCTTGCAGTGAACCTGACTCTGTCTGATAAATATGCGTTATTGTGTCTCCTCAAATAAAGGCAAGTGTAGGTCTGAGGTCATGCTGATATGGAGAGTGTGGCGATACCATTAAACACCTGGTGAAGGTCACTCTAGACCAGGTCTGGACTGGATTGAACCTGGACTAACCCTGGATTAAAATCAATTAAATGTATTCTTGTATAGCCCTAAATCACAACAGCAGTCATCTTAGAGGACTTAACAAAACCGTTGAAATCGTCAACATAGATCACAGAATCAACAGTTGAAACGCAAAAAATATAGAACACATCAGTGATAAGATAAGATAGACTTATCTCACACAGGAGAAATGTACATGTCACATCTGACATGGATAGAATCACTCAAGATTGTGCAAAAGAAATAAATGTGCAAACATGTTAAATGCAGGATATATTATGCACAATAAAAAGTGGCAATCAAGAAACGGTGTCAATAATAGTGCAGGTTTTTTGGTCCTAATGCAAATGACTTAAAGTGACTTATTGTACAGTCTGACAGCGGTGGGGATAAATGCCCATAGGGAGAGATCAATGTCCATGAATGTTGATAAATGTCCATGCATGTTGTAGAATGTAGAGTGTCCTGAATCATCATCACTCTAAACTGGACAAATTCGGAAGTCTGATTTATGGAAAAAAAACATTTTTGTAAATTGTGTTATTTTTCCAGTGAAGTGAGGCCAGCACAGTGCTCTTGGGAAGTTACAAACGGCTGTTGTACCATAATCCTCTACATTTATTATTCAGGACTGTAAAAATCATGTATTTTTTTATCTAAATATACAGTACAGACCAAAAGTTTGGACACACTTTCTCATTCAATGAGTGTCCTTTCTTTTCATTACTATTGACTGTAGATTCACACCCAGGCTGCGTAAGGGCTTTTTGTCCAATAAGGAGAGTGATGGGTGCTGGGCCAGATGACCTGGCCTCCAGTCACCGGACCTGAACCCAATCCAGATGGTTTTGGACCTGAACCCAATCCAGATGGTTTTGGGGCCGGACCACAGAGTGAAGGCGAAAGGGCCAACAAGTGCTAAGCATTTGTGGGAACTCGGACCATTTCAGGTCCTCTTGAAGCTCATCAAGAGAATGCCAAGAGTGTGTGAAGCAGTAATCAGAGCAAAAGGTCCTACTTTGAAGAACCTAGCCTGGTTGTACCACACCTTAGTACAAATTTAATTTCATACTAAGGTCTGGATTTTCTCCATTGAGCTCCGTGAACAGGTGGGAGGGGTTAACTCCTTTTGCAGATTGAAACGATTGGATCTGAGTTTACCGTGACGTATGTAATGCGCCCGAGTCTGTTGTTAGCAATTTAGCCTAGCCATCTCCTTTGCCGCTAACGGAGCCCGTGGGTAGTAGCGCCACAATCTTGTCCAGCGATTACATTTGCTAAACATTCCTCTTGCTCTTGCTTCAATTTCTTGATAGAACCAGACCGGATTACTTTACTATCGCATTCTTCGCCACTGCCAAACTACAACCTGCCTGTTCGGCGCAAACTCTTGACGTCACCGACACCGACCAACAACGTGCTCTCTGAGTAGCCGGTCGAAATGCGACCGATTTGTAATCGCTAATATGGGGACCAGACACAGACGCTACATGCTTTTTTTTTTAGTATGTACATAATTCCACATGAGTGAATTCATAGTTTTGAGGCCTTCAGTGTGAATCCACAATTTTCATAACCATGAAAATAAAAAAACTCTTTGAATGAGAAGGTGTGTCCAAACTTTTGGTCTGTACTGTACATATATGACGAATGATATACATAGTACATAAAAGTACAGTAAAATAAAAACAAAATTAAAGTAAAAAAAGAGCATTTGCTTCAAAATATTAAATCCGCCATTCTCTGGTTTATTCTACGATACTATGAGTTTTCTTGAGTGAGAAAGCCTTCTTTAGTTTGTTCACATTATCCCCGCTGGGTTTTTTCATTAGTTTATTCTTGCAGATGCAGGAGGGTCAAAGGACCGTGATGATGATCAAGGACACTCACAATTAGGGGTGTGACGATATATCGATATATTGCGATACTTTCTCCCGCGATTCGATTATCGATATGCATTTGCCAAGTATCAAAATCGATTTTGAATTATTTATTTATTTATTTATTTTTTTACAATTTTATTTTTTTTAAATTGGCATCAATACTTAATATATGGCTACATTACGCATCTCCATTCCATTTATCATGAAATAAAGTGTATTTCTTTCTTTTGTTTATGCCATAAATTGGCATATTGTATATTTCTGACCAATATATCAATAATCGTCATATCGTGAGAAAATTGTTATTGTGATATCTTTGTCGTGATATTATCGTTATCGTGAGCTTTGTATCGTGTATCGTGAGTTACCCTTATGCCCTGTCCACACGAAGTCAAGCTCAGGCCTAAACGCAAAAATACTTTATCAATCCAGTGTATCGTCCATACGAGGCCGGCGTTTTGGGGGGGTGTAAACGAACATTTTTGAAACTAGGTCCCAGAGTGGAAAGATTTCAAAACTCCGTATATGCCGCTCCGTGGTTACTGCCTCTCCGCAATGTATCTGAGACGCTTGCGTCATCGCCCCGCCTCTTGTTAAAGCACGCATGCGCCGCACTCCGAAAATAATGACAACAACAATGTAGCTTGTTGGTTTTGTAATCCAGTGTGACCCGAAGCAACAGTTCAACCTCATCGTCCGTCCATACTAATGTAGTACCAGCTCGCCCACTCGCCATGTTGTCTGTTTACAAAATTCCGCGCATGCCCACGGAAGTTTGGGCTTGATCCCGTCATTGCGTCACAGCGCCACCAACAGGTCTGGCATAGTTTCACAGCGTTTTCAGGCGTATTGACTACATTCATATGGACGCACACATTTACTGAGCTAACTCCGTGTTTACAGAAAAAGTTTCTGAAATTATAAGCGTTTTGTCTTCGTGTGGATATAGCCTTAGGTTCCCACCCCTACTCACAATTCAACAACATTTATGGACATTGGTCAGCTGCAATGTATGGACCAATGGCTCTGTGGGGTTTTTATCATTGCATTTCTTGTGTTTGAACAGTTTTGATTCTCTGATCTGTGTTGGCAAATTCAGCGGTTTTGTTAAGTCCTCCGAGATATACAGTTGTGGTTTAGGGCTATACAAGAATAAATTAAATCGGTTTGAATTAAATTGAACTGTTTGTAAAAGGTTTCCTCCTATTCAATCGAGTACTTCTATTTGATTGTGGTTAATCTTTCAGCCCAATATGAATTAATTCATGATTTTATTGTGGAACATTTACAGCTATAAGCATTCGGACCTACCTGTTTCTGTATATGTTGTGTGCTCTTACTCTACTGTCATGCAGCAGAGAATTTTCCCCACTGTGGGAAAGATTCTCTTCTCTCACCATGTTTTTGTAAACGGCCTATATTTGATAACACACTGAGCCCAGTGAGTGGTATGCGAACACTTGACCGAATGATGTGTCACTAATGTTCCCTCCTGATGCCCCATGCAGGTTTGTGTCCTGTGGAGCTGTTCTCAGAGCTGGGCCGTCCCTGGAGCCTTCTTTGAGTCCAGCCTCGATCCCGGCCTGAACCGCAGTCGCCGGGCCATTCACTGTAACACGGAACTGGAGTACCACCATGAAGGCTACTGCTGCCGGAACTGTCCCGCCGGTATGTCTCCATACTTCAAATCAAATCAAATTTTATTTATGAAGCGCTTTTCATACAAAAGATGCAACACAAAGTGCTTTACAGTTTGGTTAAAAACAATCCCGCCGACCCATGTCCCCTCCCCCCGACCACCCAACAGACCCATCCCAAACCACAGACAAACACACACACGCTCCCATGCACACTCTCTGACACACACACAAACACACACACACACACACGCACACGCGCACGCACGCACACACACACACACACAAGTAAAACAGTAAAACAATGATGAGAGACTTGGCAGGGTTCGGATGCAACCAGTTGAAAAAGCGTCATCCTAGGAGCCGTCTGCACCAGGAGCAGAGAGCCGCCTGTAGCCACAGGGGACGACACAGGATCTAGAGGAGACCCGAAACCGAGGCCCCAGGCCCCCACCAGGTCCAAGAGTCCGACCCCCACAGCCATGCCGACCACCGCTCCCAGTGCAGAGGGCTCCTCCAGAGGGCTCCTCCATACTTCCACCTCCGCATTGTAGTGACCCTGACAGGCAGTGCACCAGAGAAGGATTTTAAAGCTGGGGCACCTTACTTTTGAAGCATTAATATTCCATATGTTTTTCCAAAAGATAACAATCCACTATTTCACTTTTTGTGCCGAGAGCTGGTTCAGTGAGGGTTACTCTCTATAAAGCCATAGTGATATCTGTACTGAGACTGAAGCACTAGTTATTTTATGACATAGGCTTCTAGGGCTGGGCAATAAAACAATAACGATATATATTGCAATAGACACGTGTTCGATATCAATAGAAAACAGGGTCGATAGAACGTTCAACTTCACGCCATTCGAAAAAAAGGGCAGAAAACACAGGAAATAAGTCAGAAGTGTGCGGCATTCCGGGGGATGTAGGCAGAGGCTTCTCGACCTGAACCGCAAAACATTCTGGGATATGTAAAAACAAGAACCGCACCATGCGTAGCGTCCACGGATCTATAGATTGTGATTCAATGCCGTGTCAATAGTTATGCACGTCCGTGCGAGGAATAGCATGTGCGTCGCGGGAGAGGCAGTGGGTACAGACTCATGCGGCAAAAGCAAGAGATGAACTTTTTCCTCTGGAAGCACTATCAGATAGATAGACAGAGCTGTCACAGGGACAAAAGACACTCGAAAACAGCCAAAACAGGAGCTAAACCAGGACTAACAATGGGGGAGACTGCTTGTGAACATATGCCTCCAGCCTCATTCCCCCGTAACTGTAAGCAAGGCTGCTAACGTGTGTTAGCTGACACCAAATGTATTTATTTATGTTAAAAAAACAAAAACAAATCAATATATATCGTCTACCGATATGAATTACTTATTTTCTGATATAGTTTTTAGCCATATCACCCAGCCCTATAGGCTTCTTGATATTTGATGTAATATCATTCCCAGAATGTCCAGCTCCATTAGTCTGCACCAATGTAACAGAAATGCATTTGCTTAATTCGGCAAATGATCAATCTGAGAGCGCACAACTTGACTTTGGTGATCGTGGAGGATTTTACCTGGGTACTTCTCATGTACCACACAAACGTTTTATTATTTCTGCTGTATATTTATTGTCATATGTCCTGAATGGTGTGTGTTCCCAGGAACCCACATGAAGAAGCCATGCTCCACACCAGGGGGACCCTCTGACTGTGAGGAGTGTGCTTCTGGGACTTACACTGCCCTGGGGAATGGTCTGGAGAAGTGCCTGAGCTGCTCCCGCTGTCGCGCAGGTATCTGCTGTTTTGGAGACTAGAGAGATAGTGAGAGGGAGACCATAGAGCGAGGGGAGACCATAGAGCGAGGGGAGACCATAGAGCGAGTGGAGACCATAGAGCGAGTGGAGACCATAGAGCGAGTGGAGACCATAGAGCGAGGGGAGACCATAGAGCGAAGGGAGACCATAGAGCGAGTGGAGGCCATAGAGCGAGTGGAGGCCATAGAGCGAGTGGAGGCCATAGAGCGAGTGGAGGCCATAGAGCGAGTGGAGGCCATAGAGCGAGTGGAGGCCATAGAGCGAGGGGAGGCCATAGAGCGAGGGGAGGCCATAGAGCGAGGGGAGGCCATAGAGCGAGGGGAGGCCATAGAGCGAGGGGAGGCCATAGAGCGAGGGGAGGCCATAGAGACCAAGTGTTCTGTGTGCTAAATAAATAAAGTTGGTGTGTGTGTGTGTGTGTGTTCAGACCAGGCAGTTGTGCGGGCGTGTGAGTCCACTCATAACATTGAGTGCCAGTGTAAAGCAGGGGGCTTCTGTGAGGAAGACCAGGCCTGTGAGGTGTGCCGGCGGTGTCTGCGGTGAGGACGCACTCTTTCACTTGTAGCTTGTAACAACTTTTGTAAATGCCCACTTTAGACTTCTCTATTACACACACTGTTAGGCTTTGTGTAGAAATGCAGTGGAACAGTTGTTGTGTTTGTGCTTTACTATTGTGAGCTACTTTCAAAATTATGTAATTATTTGTTTTGTTTGTATGTCTATATCTAGCTAAAGGCGTGAAGACGTACTTAATGAACGTCATTAGCCCCCTGGATTTAGCTGGAAGTAACTTTCATCTGCTGAACTTCTTCTCAAGGGTTTAGTCTTACTGGTTTATCTCCTGCGCTGCAATACTGATACGTCCCTGTTGTGGGATGAAGCTCTCTTGTCCTTGATTAGTTGTATCATGCAACATGTGTCTTTGGCCTAATAACTTGTTGTGCAGTTCAAATTTTCCTCATAACCTTATATGGAAACCTCATCGCCGTACAGTGCATTACGTCATATGTCAAAGCCTCAATCGTCACAGACCGGAAATACAGGCTTGTACGTGTGTAATTTAAACTGGTTCCACAGGTTCAGACGTCCTCACATGTGGTTGTGTTGTTGCAGTGAGAGTGATGATAGTGAGATGTTTTGGGAACATGTGCAGCTCAGTCTGAATCTGTTTTTGTCTGCTGCAGATGTGGGAGCGACGAGACTCTGGTGAGAAACTGCACTCCCACCAGGAACACAGAGTGCAAGAAGAATCCGCCCAACCCGGGACACGCGGCAGGTAGAGGGGATGACCCACAACACACGTATAGGGACCCTTTTCAGGAAAACAACCGCATAATTTATTTTATTCCAAATATTGAACTTGAAACTACATTAGGAATAATTCATCCAAAAATGTCAGTCTCTAAACTCGGCACCTTTTCGTTTTTTTCCAGTTCTGTTTTAATCCCAAGATAAATATCGATTCCCTTTTTCAATAACAGTACTGCATATCTTCATATAATGTAGATTGTACATTGCAGCCTAACCCTCCACAAATTAAACTCTGGACTTCTGGGCAAGGCAAGTTTATTTTTCAGTTCTCAAAGTGCCTAGTAAAAATATGAAAATATCTAAAACAAACTAGGCCTAAATAATCACAGTACATTAGAAAAAGTGAAGCTAAACAGAACTGTTTTAACCTGGATTTGAACATTGTCAGATTTCAGCTGCATAAATCTGATCCCTGTGCTCCTCAGAGACTAGTTTGGTTCATGTGACAATGACATGTCCTGGGTATCCATGTTTTTCTTTCTTCCTCTTAAACATGATAAGTTACGAAGATTTGGTCAAACTCCCCTATGGACCATACCTGTGTTCTATATTTTTTTGTGTTTGAACTGTTTGATTCTCTGGTCTGTGTTGGCGATTTCAACAGTTTTGTTAAGTCCTTTGAGATCAGAATCAGAATAATTTGTATTGCCATATAAGTAACATTAAGTCACAGACTAGGAAATTGCTTTGGCTCGATAGATAACTACTGTTGTGATTTAGGGCTATACAAGAATAATTTGTATTGAATTAGAGATATGTCTGGGCCGCGTCATTGGGGCAGATTTGTTCTTGGGTCAGATATCCTCTGCAAAGGATTTTATCTGAAAATGAATATTGGCTAAAATGTATGATCATTTTAAAAGAGCTAAGAATCATCCTTTTTTTTCCTCCACATCACCCCATTTCTGCACGCAGTTTCTCTCCCTCTCTCTCTCTCCTCTGTGCACCCACCTGCTGCCTGCATCCTGAGGCACAGGGATACAAAGTGAAGTGCAGACCCTTCATAAGGCTCACAGACAAATAAGAGGTTATGGGATCACATCTGCACACTTTAGGTTTGTGAAGCTGCAGATAGGTCAAGCTAGAACTTCCAATTATGATTTAAAGATTGAAAACATGACATGCCAAAGCCCGAACCATGTTTATGGACAAAAAGAATGATGATGGCGATTATGAGTATTCTTTTGTTGACATGTTTGTTTTATGCTCAGACATGACAGCGGTGCGCGTCGCTGTAGGATTGGTCGTGCCTCTTGTCGCGGCCGTGGTTCTGCTGATCTTCTGCCTACACCGCAGAAAGAAGAAGACATCAGGTACTGTTGACTATTGCCCGTTACTGCTTTCAAAACTCAGCCACTTTCTACTTGTTGTTGCTTTGTTTTAACTGAGTTTGACGAGGCGGGAGAGCCACAGCAATAACTTCTGTGTGATATTAGAGTCAATCATCAGCCAGTCGGACCACTATCTCACTCACACTCACAAGCCGTCACATTACAGCCGTCTCACTGTGGAAATTGGTGTTCCCAGTGGGCTCCCATCAACATTACTAACCAGGCCTTGCCTTGCTTAGCTTCAGAGGTCTGACAGGATCTATTCAAGTTGTCAGTTTGCCAACAGATCATGTAATCAAACCGTTTGAACAAAGGAAATGCAATAATAACAAATGCATAGGGGCCATAGGGAGGGGGGTGACCACTGTCCATAAATGTTGATAAATGTAGGAGTAGGTGATGTCATAATCTTGGCCACTGTAGGTTTATGACTTAATTGTAGCTTTGAGGTCATCGATGATAATAACGCGTCAAAAGAATTTCTAGACAAACACATGCAGGGATTTTACAGGGTCCAAAGAGCTGCGTGTGTCTGTGGAAATTTTTGTGTGAAATTGAATTCAAAGTTTGTAGAATTATATCTTTAAATCTTGGGTCCTCCACTTTGAGAACAGCTGTATTAACTATTTAGGCAAGAACATCCTGAGTTTGAATTAGGGATTGTAATCCGATCCAATTCCGATATTATTAAAAATATTGTTTTGCCGATACCGATCCGATACAATTTTTTCAAAGCATTCAAGATTTTGCATTTTTACCTGAATAAATAAGTTTGTTGTGTCGGCTAACACACGTTAGCAGCCTTGTTTACAGTCACGGGGAATGAGGCTCGAGGAATATGTTCACAAGCAGGCTCCCCTATAGTTAGTCCTGGTGAAATCCTGGTTTAGTCCTGGTGTATCTCCTGTTTTGTGTCCCCATGACGGCTCTCTGATAGCCGTACGGAGGAAAAAGTTAATCTCTTGCTTTCGCCGCATGCATCAGGTCTCTGTCCACTGCCTCTGCAGCGCCGCACATGCTATGCCTCGCACGGACATGCATTACCATTGACACGGTATTGAAAAACAATCTTTAGATCCATGTACGCTACGCATTGTGCGGTTGTTGTTTTTGCATTTCCCAGAAAGTTTTGCAGTTCACGCTTGGCTGTGATAGGTCGAGAAGCCAATGCCTACATCCCCCCAGAATGCCGCGCGCCTCTGACTCGGCTTTACTTTCTGTGTTTTTGTCCTGTTAGATATCGTTGAAAGCTTATGATTTTCTATCTTTCGAGAAAACATGCTTGTGACAATTGATTTACTGAAAATAAGAAATCAGGAAAATCTCACCTCCAAAATTCCAAGTTTATTACTACGGTATTTTTCAGTTATGCTTTATTGCTCAATGTTGTAATCATGAGACAATGCTGACCAATCAGGGCCTTCCACCTGTGATCGCACACCGGTCTGCAGTCTACGCATGGGGCGGGGAGGGAATGCTGAAGACACTGACTCACTCTGACTCACTCTTGACTGTTTACTTGCACCACAAATCTCCCCTTTTTCTTTTCTCTCTGGGCCCATATCCAGCTGGAGGTATAGCTGCAGAGGTGTGACGTGTGGAGCTAATCATTAATGCAGTGGTCTCCAACCTTTTTAGTTCCAAGGATATGTAACGTCAAGCAATATTTTCATGCACTGTTAATAAAGACTAAGACTCTCAGAATTCTGAATCCACGAGAACCTTCAGAGCCGTCATTTTGATTATTCTCATTCAAACAATGCATTGTTCTAACTCAAAAACTGAAATAAGTTATTTATTCTTTCCTTGTTACCTCGGTGTTTCCTCAGTACTGAATGGCTGGAGGTTGGAGACCATTGATCCAAAAGACACATGATGAAAAAATGTGCTCTTTTTTGAGCATTCCTTCATCACAAACGGATCTGGTGTTGATCCAACCACATCAATCTTGAATCACAGAAGAGATAGAAAACTTGTCTTGGCTTTGAATGTGAGATCTGCTCTTTAGTTTTGAACACAAACATCTGTTCTCTTTTCAGACTCTGGGAGGACCCCAGCTGCCCTGACATTGGTGAGTTGTGCATCAGTCATTCTATTAAGTAGTGTTTCAGAAATAAATTATCTTGACTTGTATATGCAGTATGTGTTATTTTGTATGATATAGCTAGATGACATGTTTTATTATGCTCTGATCATCTTAACGACCATTAACAGTATTTCAACTTGCCTCCAGTTGTAGAGAATTACACACATGTAACTTTTGCTATGAGATATATATAATCAAATCTGTGCATCAAAAAAGTTCTATTCTAACTTTGCATTGCTTTCAGAACTGCAACGGCACAGAGAAAGGCCGCTGGAGCCTGGTGAGGCCCAAGTCGCTGCCGGTCGGGGACGTGGGGGACGTGGAGGAGGAGCGGGGCCTCTGCTCTACCTCCAACTCCCAGGACAACCTGATCACCAGCCTGCCCCTGTTCACCTGCTCTGCCCCCGCAGCTCCCGCTCTAACGCTTCCCAACACCCGGGTGAGGCCACGACCCACCACGCTGCTGCGCTCTTCTGCTTGGGCTGGGCTTGCTTAAAGACCTTAGGCCGTTTTTTTTTTTTTTAAATTGTGGATATCAAAATTGCATGACAATGTCGATCTGAGATTCCGGCAAAAAAAATCCTATATTTTATAAAAAGAACGTGTTTTTCATGAATTTAAGTTGTCTATGCTCTAACCTGTGTGTGACGTCATAGCGGGTAACGCCCATTGAAAACCATGGATCTATGCCACAGGACTGCCTTTTCTCTCTTCTCTCCACTGATGCCCAACACAATACTGCACTCTACAGGTGACAATTGCTCACTACACATAAATTGCCGTTTTGAGAGTGAAAATGTGTCTGAGGTGGGATTTGAATCCCAGTATCTGGATTGACAGTCCATCGACACAACCATTGGACAAACAAAATCTCAGACTCGCTGTACACGGCCTTGTCATCTTAAATATCCACAAAAAAAGAACGAATACCAAATTGTAAACAACTTACAGCGTTGAAACGTACCCACTCTGACGTCACCAAGGGCTGTGAAGTTTTTTCGTCTCAAAGGGCGTTGCTATGGGGTTATTTCGATTTGGGGGGATCAGACAAAAAAAACAACCACTGATTTTGAAACCTTTAGTAGTTCTCTTCTAATATAAAATGGTATTAAAACTGTATTTCTAAATAAATCAAACCCGTCATAAGGTCTTTAAAGCTATTATTGGTGAATATTAAGTTATTGTTCATCTTTGGGATTTGTGTTATTCCAAATGTCTGAAAGTGATATTATAAAAGATGGAGTGAGAGAACACCGCTCACCTCCTGTTTGGTCCAGGTTACGCCTTTTAGGTTGGCTTTCATGATCTGTCGATGCATTTGTGGATCTCTCACTAGATTGCCCCCCCCCCCAACCCACAGATCATGAGGGCCGACCTCAAAAAAGGTGTAACCTGGACCAAACAGGAGGTGAGCGGTGTTCTCTCACTCAATCTTTTTATAATATCACTTTGGAATAACACAAACCCAATTTATTTATTTTTTCAGACAAACTATTATTTTTAATTCACAAGGAAAAATTGTCCATTGTCTTTAGCTCCTCCACACAAAATCATTCCTTTGTGCCGCTGCTTCTATGTCTCTGTCAGTACAATAAGATAATATCTATCCATTTTGAAATTCTTGTTTGCTTACATTTCCTATACCTAAAAGATTGCACATTCTGAACACACAAGTCAATATTGGGGACAAATATAGTTATTGGTTGAGAGATGTTGATAATGTTACCTGATGATTCGCAAACAATTATGTCAAGCCCTAGAAATCATGACCACAACGTTCACAATGTCATCCAGCCAACTTCAACTCTCTGATACACTTGTGTAATCATGTTTACAGCTTTGAACTGCCTGAATCCACTCTGGTCTGAGTAAGGTTTGAGTATGTATGGAAATTGAGAGGAAAGGTGTTTATTTTCTTTCGTCTTTTAAAAAGGACTGAAAATAATGGTGAAATGCGACAGAACAAATGGCAAATGAATGTTTACTAATGAATATGAGACTAATGATATTTGTAAGAAGCGCATGATTTACCTCTTTTCCTTCGCACCCTATTTCTGCCTGCTGCCTCTTTCTGCCTATCTGTCTCTATCTCTCTCCCTTTTTTATCCTTTCACCCTCTCTCACCTGCCTGCCTCTGAATTTACCGCTTTTTCTTCGCAACGCCCTATTTCTGCGCATGTCCTCTCTCCCTTAGTCAGTCTCTCAGGGGCAAAGCGAAGGCCGGACCTTGATGAAATGTATCTCTTAATAATGCTCACACAGACAAATGAAGAGGTTAAATGATCATATCCACACAGACACATTATGTTTGCTAAGCTGCAGCTGCGTTATGTTTAAATCCTCCTCTTCCTCGAGATAAAAGCTGAATGGTGAAACTGATATAGGGAAGGATAAGCACATCCTAGAACTCCCATATTTACATTTTTTACCTTTATTTGCTTTCAAGAAACTCATAGTTTTTTCTTCTCTGTTGTGCTGCAGTTACCGTGTTTACGTCCCAAACCTCACCTATCATATCATTTCGCGTTTCTTTTTCTGTATTTGAGCCAAAATGCGAATGCCATGCCCTCTGATCAATAAAACAGTTTGTGGCTTAAGTGAATACCGTGTAAACAAAGGTCGGTGGGGGCGTGGCAGCAGTGTGAGGAATGCATGAGCGTAAAGATGACTCAACGACTCAAATATGCGCTTAATCCCTCTTTGGAAACTAGTAAGGAGTCATCTAGAGATAGTGTTATTGTGAATAAGAAAAATATATGAACTAATTATTTTGATCACTAGACATGGTTGTTATTGCTAATGATGTCATGATGCAGTGACAAGAACATGTAATTCACCAAAGTATACCGGCCGAACCCTCACTTTGAGCCTCTTTCTGAGCGTGAATAAGAACACTGTAGTTTACTCTTGAATTAACTCATGTGAAGTCAGTAGGCAGTTTTTTCACAAGGAGCATGATGGGAGAAAGCGGCTTCTTCCTTAATTTTGCTCTTTTACATGGCATCATGCCATGTAAAAGAGCAAAATTAAGGAAGAGTATCTGGGACTGTGACGCTATAAACAAGCAGGAGGAACCCTTAAAATTGTGTTCTTGCATGGTCTTGATCAAACTTGGACCTGACTTGGACTTTACTCAGACTTTTGCATCTAGAAATTTGGACTTGCGGGTCCAGAGACTTGGACTTGAGTTGGACTTGTGGGTCCAGAGATTGACTTGGAACTTGCTAGCTGGAGCCAATTTCCTTGTATGGGCATTTTTTCTGATTCAAACTGTTGCTGTTAAGTCAAGCTGGAGTTTATCCCGTGAATGAAGGCATCTGATTGGTCGATTATATTTATATGGCTAATGTCAAAATAAAAACTCCAGGAACACAGAGATCACTAAAGTTTTTAAGCCTAAAAACGTCAGTGATTTTTTTTTGTTTTTTTCTACTGAGGTAGAGGAGTTTAATTTTCAATGTTGGTCAATATCAGTCAGAACGAGTTGGAGAAAACACTTCCCTATTGAGCTTCATTGAGCTACAGGGTTAGCACTGTCCATCTATCTACTGTCCATGGTCTGAATTGTGTTTTCTCTTCAGGTTGACGTCCCACAGTTCAATGTTCGTCCTGTAAATGGTGAGTTTGTTTAAAAAGAATTAAAAAAGAATTAAAAAATTCTTTTTAATTTTTCTAAATGTGTATTTCTCAGATACAGGGGCTGCAAACATAAAAACACAACTTGAACTTGTACACATTTTGCTGTGTTTACAAGATTTTAATTTATTTTTTTAAAGACCACAACAAAGTTACAACTTTGAAATGCGGTAATGATACAGTTCATCCATAGGGCGAAAAAGTCCTAAAAGGTACAGTGCCTTGCGAAAGTATTTGGCCCCCTTGAACCTTTCAACATTTCGCTACATTTCAGGCTTCAAACATAAAGATATAAAAATTCAATTTTTTGTCAAGAATCAACAACAAGTGGGACACAATCGTGAAGTGGAACGAAATTTATTGGATAATATAAACTTTTTTAACAAATAAACTGAAAAGTGGGGCGTGCAATATTATTCGGCCCACTTGCGCTAATACTTTGTAGCGCAACCTTTTGCTGCAATTACAGCTGCAAGTCGCTTGGGGTATGTCTCTCAGTTTTGCACATCGAGAGACTGGAATTCTTTCCCATTCTTCCTTGCAAAACAGCTCGAGCTCAGTGAGGTTGGATGGAGAGCGTTTGTGAACAGCAGTCTTCAGCTCTTTCCACAGATTCTCGATTGGATTCAGGTCTGGACTTTGACTTGGCCATTCTAACACCTGGATACGTCTATTTGTGAACCATTCCATTGTAGATTTGGCTTTATGTTTTGGCTCATTGTCCTGTTGGAAGATAAATCTCCGTCCCAGTCTCAGGTCTTTTGCAGACTCCATCAGGTTTTCTTCCAGAATGGTCCTGTATTTGGCTCCATCCATCTTCCCATCAATTTTAGCCATCTCCCATGTCCCTGCTGAAGAAAAGCAGGCCCAAACCATGATGCTGCCACCACCATGTTTGACAGTGGGGATGGTGTGTTCAGGGTGATGAGCTGTGTTGCTTTTACGCCAAGCATATCGTTTTGCATTGTGGCCAAAAAGTTCAATTTTGGTTTCATCTGACCAGAGCACCTTCTTCCACATGTTTGGTGTGTCTCCCAGGTGGCTTGTGGCAAACTTTAAACGAGACTTTTTATGGATATCTTTGAGAAATGGCTTTCTTCTTGCCACTCTTCCATAAAGGCCAGATTTGTGCAGTGCACGACTGATTGTTGTCCTATGGACAGACTCTCTCACCTCAGCTGTAGTTATCTGCAGTTCATCCAGAGTGATCATGGGCATCTTGGCTGCATCTCTGATCAGTCTTCTCCTTGTTTGAGATGAAAGTTTGGAGGGACGGCCGGGTCTTGGTAGATTTGCAGTGGTCTGATTCTCCTTCCATTTCAATATAATTGCTTGCACAGTGCTCCTTGAGATGTTTAAAGCTTGGGAAATCTTTTTGTATCCAAATCCGGCTTTAAACTTCTCCAACAGTATCTCGGACCTGCCTAGTGTGTTCCTTTGTCTTCATGGTTCTCTCTGCGCTTTAAACAGAACCTTGAGACTATCAAAGAGCAGGTGCATTTATACAGAGACTTGATTACACACAAGTGCATTCTATTTATCATCATCAGTCATTTAGGACAACATTGGATCATTCAAAGATCCTCACTGAACTTCTGGAGTGAGTTTGCTGCACTGAAAGTAAAGGGGCCAAATAATATTGCACGCCCCACTTTTCAGTTTATTTGTTAAAAAAGTTTAAATTATCCAATAAATGTTGTTCTACTTCACGATTGTGTCCCACTTGTTGTTGATTCATGACAAAAAATTAAAATGTTATATCTTTATGTTTGAAGCCTGAAATGTGGCAAAATCTTGAAAGGTTCAAGGGGCCGAATACTTTCGCAAGGTACTGTATATACTCACAGATGTCATGAGTACCCCCTGCTGTTAAGTAGGAGTAAGGACAGTATGACCAGGGAATTTAAACTCATTTTGGATTTTATTAGGGCTGGGACTCGATTAAAAAAATAATCTGATTAATTAGAGGCTTTTTAATTAATTAATTAATTGCATTTTATTTGCATATAAATATTTGACCTGAGAACAGTGAGAAGCATGGGTTTTTAGTATACCATTGAATAATGACTGGATACATAAGCTTAAGCAACAAAAATATTTTTGTTCAAGTCCAACAGACCAGTGCAATCTTTGCCATTAAGTGTAGCAATACACTTTTAGAATTTTTTGAAATATACTTCCCATCCACAGGGCCAACCAACGAGTTCACATTAGCTTCTTTGTTTCTGGGTAGCCCACGTGAATTTAGTCTCGTTTAGTCTGCAGTCCCGCGAGAATCCCGCGAGCACATGAGTTATTCAGCTACAAGCTAGTAATACCCTATCCAGTTAATATAATACAGCCATTCCCAAACTCAGTAACACCGAGGCCCCCTTAAAAATCTGACGGGTCTGCGTGGCCCCCCAAAATAATAACCAAGAAGACAACATTAAGAATAGGCTCTTCTGGTTATTTTATTTTGGGGAAATAGCCTCTGCTACAAACATTGTAATACAAAAATGATTACAGTGGATTATTCAAGTCAAATAATGAACACAAATATTTGAATATTACAAACAAAACATTATAAATTTAACATTAAATAATTATATTCTTTTTTAATTTTTTTTTATGACCTCCCGCGGCCCCCCTGCAGTACCCTCGCGGCCCACCAGGGGGCCGCGGACCCCACTTTGGGAACCACTGATATAATAGATCCATGGTTCATGTTCACTGTGCCACTGAATATTTCCAGTCTATGGCAGGGGTCCCCAATTAAATTGGCAAGAGGTCCACTTACTTGATCAGTTCAATAGATTAGGGTCCGGACATCATACAAATATTTTATTTCATAGAAATTGATTCCAGCTATTTCTTTCATATGAAATGATTTGAAAACCTTAAACAAAAATGACTACAGCTGTAACAATAATTTTTATATATATAATTCACACATAACATTAATCTCCTTCGTTTATTTCTATACACCACAAACCTCTCCCAAACTCTCAGAGCAGAGGGTGCAACACATGTTAATTGTGGATGATAAGGGGATCAGACTGACTTCTTTCCCATCAGATAACATATCTGTCATTGCCTCCACAACATACGCTTTTTATGCCCAAAATCCACTGCAATCGCAGTGAGCACTAAAGCTGGGCATGCGCTGTTTGCTGAAGCTTTTTTAATACACACCTGTGTCTCGCTCCTCCTCCTCCGCTCACACACAGGAGTCGCTGCTCCTGAAGACGCTAGCATCCATCGCTCCATACACAACGCTCATTCCTGTCTCTAACTCAATCGGATTTAGTTACCGCTAAAGTTTGACAGCTCCATAAAGTTTTCTCCAAAGTACCCCGCCCTCGCGCCTGCCTGCTTAAAAATTGTTAAAATAAATATGATTAAAATGCGTCAATTTTTTTAATGCACTAATTTTTGTGTTATTAATTCATCTTAATTAACGCGTTAAAGTCCCGGCCCCTTTTTTAAAATATAATTGTTATTGGTTTACATTACGTAGGTATTATCACACAATAAGCACTTTTATTAACTTTTTCAGAAAAATAAATGACATGCTTGGACTGAACCAAAACTAGAAGATTAAGATTGAGGCATTAATCTTACTTTATTCAACCATATAATTAAATATAATATCTTTTAACCTATTGAGGCCGAGACCGCATTCCTGTGTTTTTGCCTTTCAAGCCGGGAGCGCTGTTGTGCACTTCTACCTTTTAAGGCCGGGAAAGCGGACACGTCTTTTTTCTTTTTTTGACCTATTCTCTTCATTGATCAATTCTCTTGACCAATGAAATGCATCAAGATAAACCAGGGATGAGAATTATCTGCGGAGCCTCGGCTGTAACGGGGTCATGTACCGCGGACCATAGATGCGCGGACAGAACCATACACGCGCGATCAGGACCATCCCCAGCTTGTTGCATGTCTCCCCCATCCGAAACTCACTGAATTAAAGCTCAGGTACCTAAATTTTCGCTTGCATTGACAATGCATGCTATTTGTGCACAAAAGTATAATGTTGAGAACAAATCAAACAAAACCACAACAGTCAAGTCTTTTTTTATTTTGCTTACTTAAGAAAGAGCCCTGCATATTTTTTTCCATACAGTTAGTGTCACTTTATTGCCAAACTCTTTTTGACTTATTGTATTGAGAAACATGTGTTAGTCTCACATTATTTTTGGTTGTTTTACCTTTCCTGTGTGGAAGTTGTATATTTTTTATATTGTTCTACTGAAGTTTTATAATAATACACTGCATTCTTTTTGAAAGCCACAAGTGTCAGCTCTCAAATTCTTTTGAAATTATGTTTATCTGCTACAGAGGCCGAGATATTAATCATTTAGTAGACGTTGAATTTCAGGGTGGTTCTGAAGTCGGCCATAGGTTTTACAGGTCTGTTTTACCAGGTGTGTCAGGCCTTAATGGGTTATATGATATATAGCATGCTTTAGTAACGCAATTTGACTTATCTCTTTCAGTGAAAATAATTACATGGTTACTTTGGCTTAGTTTGGACATACCTACCTTAAGCATAAAACGTGTGTCCTCTCCGCAGGGCAAGTCTCGCTCACCAGCTGCTTTGAATTCTTCGAGGAGCTGGACATCCACTACCACAAGCGCTTCTTCCGCCACCTGGGCCTTTCGGACAACGTGATCATCAGCAAAGAGCCGCTCATGTACGTGGACCGCGTGCACGACTTACTGAACCTGTGGCTGGAGAGGCGTGGGAGGCAGGCCAGTCTGGAAGACCTACTGAGGGCCCTGCTGGAGCTCAACCAGAGGCGCACCGCTGAAGTCATTGTTGAGCGTGCTCTGCAGGCGGGCTTCTACGTCTCCCTGGGTGACGAGCATGCATGACTCTCTGCACAAACCTTGCACACGCGCCACATTTTCGAGGCTAAACAAAGAAAGGCAGGGTCATTATTTCAAGCAAGAAAAATCTTCAACAGAACCAAGTTCGGTCTTGAGTTGATTTACAGATTGATGCATTTGTGGATCTCTCAGAAGATTGCCCCCCCCCCCCCCCCCCCCCCCCCCCCTCTCTTCTGTCTAAACTTTGGGTCATTCACCCGAGGACTAATCGTCAGACCGGCATCCGACCCGGCTTGCGTCTTTTTGCCGAGGCATGTTCCGGGTTAGACACAATTACATTTATGTTTGTACAGCCCTAATATTTAAACAGCAGTCGTCTCAAAGGACTTTACAACGTTGTCGATTTTCAAAAAAACAAATGAGAGAATATAGCAATAATAACAAACCTAGGAGACATTGGTCCATAAGGAGTGTGTTCCACTGTCCATAAATGTTAATAAACGTCCTTAAATGTCCCAGATCAGGCTGTAGATCCAGAACTTAGGCTGTAGAGCGAGGACTGGAGATGTATAGCAGTGTTTTCGAGGCTGTAGCTTCCATGTTGTGTGGAGGGAAGGTGGTTATAAAACGACACACAAACTGCAATTGTTTTGACCCTTTTTTTTCTTCACTTTTGAAAAGGCAGAATGTAAATTTCCACCATTACACATGTTCATAGATCATATTTTTCATTTTTGAAATGATTCCACATTCAAACATGAAAATGCCAAAGTTAAGTTTTCAAATAATTCATTATATTTGTTCTTTAACCAAACCAGAAGACAAAGTATAGCACATGAAGCTTCTGTAGACAAAGAATTGTCAAATGTGATTCTACTGAGTCCAGGCATGGTTTATTTGTATAGCACAGTTCATACACAAGGCAACTCAAAGTGCTTAACAACACAAGATCATACAATGCATTAAAATCAAATGATCACAGTACATTAAAAATGGAGAAGATGCAATCCTTCTTTTGTTTGTACAGCTAAATAGAACTGTTTAGCTGAAGAGTTTAGCTGCATAATTCAAAATGCTGCCTCCTCGTGTTTGCTCTGTTTCTCTGGGCACCAGCAGAGAGAGCATCTGTGTTGCGGTGACGATGGTGTTCTGAGGGGAGTTCAAACCTCTGAACGTAAATGTGTTTACAGAGAGGACATGAAGGCTGCCAGCACAAGTTCTGTGTACAACTACTTGAAATGAATGTCATATTTGTGATTTCTGTGTTTTTTCATGTATTTATAATGTTTAGACGAAGATGCTATTTATATGTAGATATTTTTGTATTTTGATACTTTTCTTGTTATACTGCTGCTACAAGTTTAGTCAGAAACATTGCTCGGAAACTAACGGGTTGTGTGTAAGATGAGTCTATTTTGTGTCCCTCGTGGCCTTGTGTGAAAAGCCATATTTTTGGCCGAATGGGCCGAATGTTCAAAATTATTGTTTTCAATTTGTTCACAGAGGGATACTTCAACATTCACAAACAAGTGCCAGTGCCAATGTAAAAGCACAGTGAATCAAATGAGTTTTCTTATGGGCTTTAGGGCACCTGTAAACTTGAATGATTTAAATGTTTTGTGTTTCTTACCGCGCACATGAGATGTGTATGTAACGCTATGTCAAACTTTAAAGACAATAAAGTGCATTTTAAGACAATAATTGTTGCTCTAAATTGTTTCTGTATATTACCACAATGCAGGTTGTAATAGTCTTCTTTGTTGTCTTTCTTCGTTTAGTTAATTTGAACTGTAATGAGTTATTAGATAAATAAATGCATGCAAATATTCACAGAAAGCATCAGACAAAAACTACAGTATCAGAATTAAAGTAGTACTTAAATTCCAAGCATTGAAAGATGGATATTGATACTACTTTATCCCCGTAGGAGACGGATGTAGGAAATAAGGAAAATAACGATTGTAAAGCACAAAACTTTTTCAGAGCTACTTATGTATATTTTAGACATTAGACAGAGACAATGTTAAGTAAAAAGTTGTGGAAAAACCAGACAATGCAGTCTTTATCTTTTCTGCGTGAAATATCTGATCGAAAATTGTGCCTTTGAAAACCAATTTTTTAACTCAAGGTGATGAAAGTCATTGTATAATTTTTGTTTTGTTTACTAAGCTGAAGGAAGTCACCCAAAAAAAACACAATTAACCTCACATTCTGATTTGGTAAATCAAACAACAAATGTGTGTAATTTTCTGTCCTTAGAACGTTGATCTTATAGATTGTTTTCGATCACGTGTTTATTACCCATGATGCTTTGCGCGGCCGCCATGTTGTGTGTCTACATACCATTTGAAGTGTATTGGCATAAGGAAAGTTCCCTCAGGAAAATGGTTGTGCAAAGACTGTAGGGAAGAATGTAAGCCACAGAAGAAGCGAAAGTGTTGATGGAATTTGATCCACAGATTGTGGTATGTTCTAAAGGATTCTGTGAAAAAGACACACCAAAATAAAGCAATTCACAGAAAACTATTTTGTTCATGGGGATTTATTTGATATTGGCACTTAACATTATATTAAACTTAACATATTCATTGACATAACTCTTTTGGTGGAAATATCACAAGTCAACAAAAAAGCACAAGTTGAGCCATGTATAAACTAGATTTTAATCAGAAGATATATCATGTTTTGAATGTGTCCAAATACCTCCTCTGTCCATTAAAGGTTGCTAGAACATACAGTGCCTTGCGAAAGTATTCGGCCCCCTTGAACCTTTCAACATTTCGCCACATTTCAGGCTTCAAACATAAAGATATACAATTTTAATGTTTGTCATGAATCAGCAACAAGTGGGACACAATCGTGAAGTGGAACGAAATTTATTGGATAATTTAAACTTTAACAAATAAAAAACTGAAAAGTGGGGCGTGCAATATTATTCGGCCCCTTTACTTTCAGTGCAGCAAACTCACTCCAGAAGTTCAGAGGGGATCTTCGAATGATCCAATGTTGTCCTAAATGACTGATGATGATAAATAGAATGCACCTGTGTGTAATCAAGTCTCCGTATAAATGCACCTGCTCTTTGATAGTCTCAGGGTTCTGTTTAAAGCGCAGAGAGAACCATGAAGACAAAGGAACACACCAGGCAGGTCCGAGATACTGTTGTGGAGAAGTTTAAAGCCGGATTTCGATACAAAAAATTCTGATGAAAAGGACATGCACCACACCCAGGAACACATTCGAGACACAACTCGTGGAAACCTTGAACCTGTAGCCCAAGTCCTGCTGGCTGAGGTTTAGTCGCAACTTCATCAATACCATCATCAGCTTTTCAAATTTTGTCAGTCTACTTGATGCTGAATGAGGTATACTCGCCTCAACAAATCTATACAGGGTCATGAGAATGTCGTAGGTAACACCCGTGTAATGCTTTACTTTAGCGTCATTACCCCTCAGCGTGTCCGGAGTCAAAACCATTCCTTTCAGTTTCTCCTTCAGTAACATGGTTTCCGTCGTCAGCCGCTGAAGCTCCTCCCTCATTTGCTTCATGAGTAACGTGTCGTCTGGTTGAGGATCTGTTGACTGTTCCGATGATGCAGTAGCGACATCCGTCTCACTGTCATTTGCCTCACCAGTGTCTGAAGTAGTCACCTCATCAGTCACCGGCGTATCCTGCTTCTGCAGACTGAGTAGTGCAGCCGCCGCTTCACTACGCTTCCTCTTTTCCGTTCTTCCTTTTGCCCTCTCAAACCGCTTTTGACTGGACCGTGTCTTTGTGGGAGACGTTGAAACTGGTCCCATTTTCAATGAAGGTGCCCAATCTGGATTTGACGAGTGGTACAACTCAGCTCTCTTCCCTGCAAATAAAAATAAATAATTATCTTAAATAAGTTCATATATTTCATTCATATATTTGGTATATGACTCAACAGCATTACATTTTGAAAGTCATGTATATAATATTTACATTTGTAGGATTGTAACAGAATTATATAGACAATATTTTGTCATAAGTATGTGCTGTGTTTGTTTACATTTTACCACAGATATCAGATGACTGAACCTTGATCAAGTTGTTGGTGTTATTTTGTAATCCAAACATGGCACACACCAGACTTACTTTTACCCAACAGTTTCACAATTACAAAAGGTCATGATGTATATAATGCAATATTTCTTTCAATCATTAAATTATTTTGAACGAAGCAGTCATGTCACAGTCCGTAAATCACTGACCCACGGCCATACAAGCTTCTGTCTACCACCCTTTCCTCATCCTCCTCTCATTCATTTAGAGGGGATTCCTTGAGGCGCACATGGTATCAGTAAAATCGCAGCTCTGAATATAAACCACACATGCACAGGTTTAGCTAGCTCTAACCTGTTATGAAATGGTCAGAACAGACCTTGTAGTGCCGTTTTTTAGGGTCAGGGTTGAATCCCTCTCGGTTTATCCTAGCCAGCCAAAGGGTTCTTCTCTCCCTCGAGAGTCGCTCTGTCTCGCTCCCCTGGCTCGTAATTACCTTCGGAAGGTCGAAAAAACCTCTCTTTACGTCCCCACAACCTGCACGGTTAGTGCACCCCATGGATGTATTATATTGGTGCACCCCCAAACGATACAGGTAGTCGGCATGTTATAGCCAAGCCCCGGCGATCCAAGATGGCGCCCTATTCAAATGAATGGTTGTGCTCCATGGTTATAGCGCAAATAAAAGGCATGTGATATGGTTTGTTTAGCTACAACCATGGACTGTATGCTACAACCGTTAATATAATACATCCATGGCTACAACTAGCAGGGCTTGACTATCAAGATGGCGGAATTGTGGGTAGTGCGTGACGTCATCGAAGAACCATGATTTAGCCCTACCTGGTGGAGAAATCATAAGAGCTAAGGCTAGAAAAGCAGCAAAATTGTGTATTTTATTTATGTACTTATTGTTTACATTATCCCTACACATGTACTTCTACATTCATTATTTGCGTATGAAGACAAAAGGTCAGCGCGTGCTCTCCCGCCGTACAGGACTACGTTTCCCATGAGCCTCTAGCTTGTCAATAAGGAAACGCACGAGGCAAAGATGCTTCCTGTATCACAAGCTTACACAAGTCTACTCTTTCTACATTTAACGCCTCCAGCTCCAGAAATAAACGTGTTTTTTTGTTGATCCCTGCGAAAGGAGGAAGGCTACATCGCAGACCCAACTGTTACATTTTCCGATTTCTGTTTGGGGTCATTTGGGGACACGCACTTGGATGACGTAAATTAACTTAATTTTACGCATTTGAAACCTTCTTTACTTGCGAGGAAAGAGCTGTTGTAAGTATTGTTTATTAGATTTTATGATTTGATATTTCTAACTAAAGAAATCTGGGGTGCGTAACTTTTTGTATTCATAAAAGAAACATTGTGTCAGACCATAGCATTCTATCTTCATCTTATTCTAAAATTCTATTATTTTTTGCATAGCTGTAAGAAAGACCCCTGTGAGTCACTATTTGACTGGATTGAGGGCTGATTGGATGAGTGAGAGTAGTCCTCTCTTTTTCACTTTTCTGTCTGAAAATGCAGATCTAAAAATATGACAAAGTGCATGCATGTGAATAGAATACAGTGATTTTTTTTGTGTCAAGTATGTTGGAAAAAAATATTTGTGGGTTGATTGTTGGGTACCCCAGCTTTGACCTTGCTTGTTTTGATGGGGCTAAAGGTCACAATCTTAAGTTTGGCAGTTAGAGAGTTGGTCTTCTCTCACTGTCATGGTCTTCTGCTGTTTGGAGGTCCCGGTCACTCTCTGGTGCCTATCTCTCATCTGTCTCTCTCTGGTCTCTTTCTGGTCTCTTTCTGGTCTCTCTGTGGTGTCTCTCTGGTCTCTCTCTGTGGTCTTTCCTCCTGCTGTCCCCTGCTGGTCCAAGTCTCTCTCTCTCACTGTTGTCCACTGCTGTGTGGAAGTCTAAATCTTCTATGTTTCTGAAATTGTGGTTATTTGCATTGAGAGCAGATGCATCAGGAGGCTCCCGCTGCACTCAGCTCTGCTCCTCTGCTCTTCCAGCTGATACAGACCAGCTCTGGAACAGAGGCCAGCACCTCCCGACCAGCCAGACCAAAGCCTGGCCTGAGACCCGGACCCAACATAGTGAGTACACTTCAAAGACAAAAAGTCTGAGCCAGACTATAAAAAAATAACCACAACAAATTGTTGTAAAACGGTACGTCTTCAGTCATTTAGTCCATAAATCGGTCAATGGCATTTTAGTGGATCATGAATTTAAAAAAATAAAATAATTTAAAACAAATAAAATAATATAAATAATGTGTTCACTTTGATATGCGAGTACTCAGAGTAGTAATGATGAAATTATGGAAACAATAGGCCCTATATTCTGTTGGAGCTCAAGTTGAATGAAGTGGTAGAGATAATTTCAAATGGAGTCTGCAAGGAATAACGGTCACGAATGCAGCAGAGTGCATGTCGTGAACTGTCAAGCATAGTCTTTTTTAACTGAAGAAACGAAGTACAGAGCCAATAAACTTCCATGTCTCTACAGCTTTGCTTTTGGCTATTCATTTGAATCAACACTTTGTGCCTGAAAGACCGGACTGACCCTCCTGCATCGGCAAGGAACACCTCAGAAATCTTTTACAAAGTTGTCAATTCACCAAAAACAAATTGGACAATCAAACTTATTGCATTTAATGAAATGCAATAATCACATATAGGAGACAGTAGCCCACTGGCAGAAGGAGGACTAATGTCTATTAATGTCCTGGATCATCGCTGCCGTCCAAACCTCCTTGATTGGATGGGAACGGCTTACAAAAAAAAAAAAACACAACGGTGAGAAACAACTGAGAAAACTTGAGAATGCTCATATTGAGAGCGGGATCTTCTCCCACGTACAGACAGGCTGTATTTACAGGACAATGACATAATTAAAACATTTCAAACAAAGCAATTCACTTGTACAGCCACCTTTATACTCCCTTGCACTTAACCACCATGTCACCAGGCCTTACCCTACTTGTATCATGAGTCCTTCCTCATCAGGCCGTACCCCTGCCTCGTGAGTGAGTTTGGCTGACTCTTAATGTGTCTGTGCTCTGGCAGAAGGACACTGGCTCCAGGATGAGGGGCACACTGGGCTTGTCTCTGTCCCTGCTTGTGTGCTTGACTCTGGGCTTGCTCTGCGTGGGTCTGGCCTGCGTGTGGAGTTCTCGGTTCAGAGGAGGATTCGGATGGGACGGCTCTGGACTGGAGTTCAACTGGCACCCTGTACTGATGACCACAGGGCTGGTGGTAGTGTATGGCTATGGTGGGTACAGTCTTTTATTTCTAGTTTGACATAAAATATTGCAGTGATCCCTCGCTATAATGCGGCTTACCTTGCACGGCCTTGCTCTTTCACAGATTATTTAATGTTCTGTGCTGTGTGTATACTCCGATATCATCAAATACAACATCATATAACCGCTAGTATAACATGACAATTAACTTTATCTTTTGACAGCTGCAGCAGCGGCCAGGTGGTTAGAAAGGTGTATAAAGTGTGTGGTGAAAGGTTTTACAGCCAATTGTGTCCCAACAATTGTAAAGTGCTTTGTAACTCTGGTCTGTGAAGGGTGCTATATAAAGATTGATTACTTACTTACTTAAAACATACAGCTGCTACTTAATTGATTTTGATTATTGCAGTTTTTTAAGAACGTAACCTGGGTGAAAAACCAAGGACCAACAAATTTCTCTTTTGCATCTATAATTGACTTTGAGGTGGTTTAGCCCTATTTGTTTTACTTGAAATATATATTCATCTGAAATAACAATGTGAATATTCATATTTATTATTTTAAACTGAGTATGTAACTTCTTGATTTCATTAATATTGGATCTGATAGAGTCTTGTAAATGTAAAATGTACTTTTTTAATGTTTGTCATATTTTTCATACTTCTAAGAAACAAGCCTCTATGCATCAAGAGCTGATTGGCTGGGTGAGGGTGGTCAACTCTTGTTCACTTTTCTGTCTTTTCTGGATGAAGATGTAGCATGGTCTTACCATACCATCGCACGAATTTTATTTTGTACTAAGGTCTGGAGTTGCTCAATTTATCTCCGTTAACAGGTGGGAGGGGTTAACTCCTTTTTCAGATTGAAACGATCTGAACGCCTGAGTGAGTGAGGCGTTTTGCATTCAGCCTAGCCATCTCCTTTTAAAGTTAAAGAAGCTATACCCGATTAATTTTCTAATGAGTTAATAAAAATGTGTTTTACTACATACAAGTTGTATTATAAGCAGTCATTAAATTGAAAAGCTAGAAGCTCATTGCTCATTGATTCAGCTTGACGCTAGCTCTCCTCCAATCACAGAACCATGAGCGCTGCTGTTACAAACAAGCTGTCTCCTCTAGCGTTTGCAGTGCAGGTAAACTCAGCAGCATGGAGGCAGAAAGTGGCTATACCTCCTCTGGCCGTAACTGCATACACAGCAAAACAGCCCAAATGAAGGAAGACAGGGAACTAAAGCGAAAAAATGATCAAGGAAGAAATCCAGCCATAGCTAGCTGACATCGTGTCCTCGCTGGAGAAACCTGCGGGTGCGGAACCGACTCGGACTACATTTGGACGCAAAACTAGCTGTAACCTTTCAGTTATATATTTTGTTAGCAGTGCGTTGCTTTTGCACTATTTCATCAGTGATTGTTGGACAGATTACAAGAAGTTGCACTAATGCTAATGTTTGCATACGTATCGTAAATAAAACTAGATGGCTTCGTGGGAGGAGAGTGTAGGGGAAATGAGAAGCCTGTGAGCGAATTGGGGGGCGGTGCTATACATTCAAACTGAAAAAAACCTTGCAGAAACGGGGATAGCTCCTTTAAGCACTAGTGAAGGCAATATGAAGCCCCATGAAGCATTTTAGCCTATTACTCTGCCCATGATTCGAAAGCTTGAGGTGATTCATGCTTCACTATGCCATCATGTGGACAAAAAACGTATAACACAGGTGCTTATAATGAATGGGGGGGTCTAATATTAATATTAATATTTAATGATGCTCAAAATGATGCTTCATGAACTATGAACTATTTGAGACCTTCAGTCAGTGTTGATACAAGTCCTGGATATATGAAACTGAGGTTTTATTAAAGTGAGACGTTTTTAAATTGTTTTTCTTATGAAGTATATTTGCCCCTTTGCCGGCCCTGTCCATCCACAGTCTCTCTCTTCTCACTCCCTCTCTCACATGTGTCCTTCAGCCTCCGTCCTGTACCGTGTCCCTATGACCTGGGGCCAATCCAAATTGCTCTGGAAACTGCTCCATGCGGTCCTCATGCTGGTGGCGCTGCTGCTGTCTGTGGTGGGGCTGTGCGCCGTCTTTGACTTCCACAACAAAAACCACATCCCGAACATTTATTCGCTGCACAGCTGGGTGGGCCTGTGCGCTGTGCTGCTGTTTGCTGTGCAGGTGCGTGGGAAATATTTACTATGAGCATCATCTGTATTCTCACAGCTGGGTGTGCAAATATTTTCGTATTTAGCAATAGTTTAGAGCAGGGGTGTCGGACTGGTTCCAGGAAGGGTCATGTGGCTAAACTAAAGGATTTAATTCTAACCTTGACACCCCTGGCTTTTGAGCATTTGAAAGAGGATATTTGGAGTGGTCATTAAGATAATGTGTGGTTTATTATTTGTGTATGACTTGTGAGCAGAATGGACATCACTAAGGGGTCTGTTTCTTTTCTTCAAAACCTGAATGAGGATTGTCCAGAGAGGATTTGTAGCCCTTGTCATCATTAGCAGCTGCTGAGAGTTGAGGATGTTCTCATACAGGGAGACTTTAGAGAAGATCCTTATAATGCAACCACTTTGAATCTCTTTAAGTTACACACTTACAAGTTGTACACCTACAAGTTTTACTCATATATGATGTCTATATACAAGTTGTACACATAAAACACTGTCCGTAGAAGAGCCCTATCTATAGCTGCAGATGATAATGTTGTACTGTGTGTGTCCAGTGGGGGGCAGGCTTCTCCCTCTTCCTGCTGCCCTGGTCCCCTCTGTCCTGGAGGAAAGCGTTCAAACCGGTGCACGTGTGGCTGGGAGGCAGCATCCTGGGCTTAAGCATCGCTGCCTGCATTTCCGGCATCAACGAGAAGCTCTTCTTTGTCTTGTGAGTCCAGTCCCAGAGCGGAGTACAAATACTAATGAGCTACACTTTACTTTGTCATGTATGTTTTTTTACTCCTTGACTACTAATTATTGCTGTCTGCCCACTAAAATCAATGGCTTTTGCTTATTGGTGCAAAAGCCAATGAGCTAATAAGGCTGACATATTGGCGGAAGTTACGCATTTTTGGTCTTGTGTAGGTGCCCTGTGTTCTACTTCTGCTGGACCAGAGTAACACGTGAGCGTTCTGACCAGTCAGAGCTGACAGTTGAGTGGGACAAGAGTGAGCCGACTTATACGACAAGTTAGTTGCTTTGTAGTTGCAAAAAAAATGTGTTCGTGTAGTTCTTTGAAATACCAACTGTGGTCCTCCATGATCCCTTCTTTAAACTTGTCAATGCACGGTGGAAGCATTAGTAGCTCCTGTGAAACTCAATTCTCTCCTTTTTTCCCTTATCAACCAATGTATTTCAAGATGGCGCATTGACATGGAGAGGACTTCAGTCAAATTCTAAGTCTATGAGAAAATTTTAAAAACATTGTGGATCACATTTGTTATTGGTTAACATGTTTTTTCATTCGGAGTACCTTTAAATAAAGTTGATCCTCATACGCTGTATTTCTCTTCTGGCCAAATACTGTCGTCACATATTTATATCCAAAAACCCATTTTCTACATGTTGACATAATGCTAACAGAAAACACCTCAGTCAATGGGTAGTAGACGCGGGACTATACAAATATATGTGCATTTTATGGACCATACACTGGACTCAGACTGCGCTGATTTGCCTTTTCACGTTCTTCCTCTGTCAATCACCTCCTGGAGGCGAGCTTCTTACGTAACGATTTGCTGCCCCTCAAGAATGAAACTGAAAAATTGCTATGTAATTTAAGATTGAGGGAGTCCTAAAAAACACATGGGCTGGCTTCTGTGAGGAGTTCATGAAGTCTTTTGTGTTGTCTTTCACCAGGAAAGGAGGGAACCACTCGCAGCCCTACAGCGACCTCCCATCTGAGGCCATGCTTGCCAACTCTTTAGGAATTGTGATTGTAGCGTTTGGTCTGGTCGTCCTGTACGTTCTCACCAATAAGAGGTGGCAAAGACCGGAAGCACAGCCCCAAGACGGTGCTTATGCGGTGAGCTAATCCCAACGTAAACCATGTCAAAATAGTACCTGATTAAAGTCTTCGTTCATTGGAGCACATAGCGACAAGGATTTTCCACAAAACACGTGGGACAAACATGAGATGCATTGTTTTAGTTTAGTTATGGAAAAGACCAATAATTTCTCAGTTTAGAGTTAACAGTTGCCTAATTTCAATCAACAATTTCATAATTGTGTCCACATTATGATAAATACAACACAAAGTCGAAGATTACTGTTGAATACAAGTGTGTAATAATATTTGCTTTTCTCTACAGCCTTTGAATCAAGAGGAAACTGACTCCTGAGATTGTAATTTAAAAGATGTGGTGGACCATGTTGTGCAGATGTGTGAGGTTATATTTAAAAGATTAAAGGCATTAAAGTGTGTTGTGTTGGCTTTTTTTGCTTCCCCTGATACGGATCATTCAGGAGGTTTCCGAATCAGATTCAGATCATATTCAGACTACTTTATTTAAGGAAATACGCGATAAGACAAGTGGAGCCCCATACAAACATATGAACATAATACAACAATAAAGCTCAAACATCAAAGTCCACATCACCACCAAGCTACAGAGAGTTCAGCAGCAACTAATTTTTTAGTTGATTAATTGCATAGTAATGTTGAGTTCACTCACGATTAATCGCATTTTTAACATTCTATTTTAAATCCACTCCAATTGAAGTTAAATGAGATTGTCAAATATAATGACACATTGTCATTCATACCAAATGTACTTAAATCTTTTTGATTTGCTCACTCCTTTTACTTTTGGGCACAACCAACATGAGCTGTTAATGAAAATGTACGTACCCCAGCTTTAATTTAGCGAGTTTAGGCGCGTTTCAGGAGGAGACTCGGACACTCCCCGAGGCTCCATAGTTCAGCTTCAGCGGTGTATTTGCGTGCACAGGTTACGCACATGAGGTTACGCAAAGACACGCAAACAACATGCAGAGGAAAGTTCAGTACTTCTATGGTCTTGGATCACTTTACCGCGGCGCCATTCGTTGTGTTGTTGTTAGCGCCTCACAGCCGCTGGAGGTGGAAACCGCTGTCCAGAGTGGCCGCAGCTGCCCCGGATGCTGCGGTCACGGAGGACTTAAGTTCATACAGCAACCAACAGCAAGTGCCCCGCGGCTCTGAGTGATATTATGGGATACATGGGCGGGTCATTCGGTCATTCGGTCATGGTTAAACCCATTTTGTCTCCCTCTTCCCCGAAGTTGTTTTCACACTGTATTTTCAATTATTACAATCTTGTTGCCCACTACCCTTGTTCTTCACAGTACTGTATTTATTATCATCTATTTTGTTTAGCAGCACACTGTCCAGTTTCTAATTGTTATACATTTCAATCACTATCATTCCTTACCCCACTAAACTGGCCCTCAGTATCACCACTGTCTATCAGCAAGATCATTCATATCTAACTCAACTAATGCACCATAACTCAAGCATAGGAAAAACAGGGGGAATAATAATAATAATGATAATATATAAAAAACACACACACACACAAAGCTAGGAATTCAGGAGACATGGGAGATGCCCTTGGACAGCACCCTGCACCAAGCTGACAGCCTCCCATAGTTTCCTTTTTAATGCACCACTTTAGACTAATTGTACACAAACTGGCTGAGTGGATAGCACTCTGGCCTCTCAGCAAGAAGGTCTTGGGTTCGAATCCCGGTCGGACCAGGGCCTTTCTGAGTGGAGTTTGCATGTTCTCCCCGTGTCTGCGTAGGTTTCTTCCGGGTACTCCGGTTTCCCCTACCACTAAAAATATGTCCAATAGGCATGTCTGGCATGCGCCTCCTGTACTGGCATCCCCACCCAACAATTGTAAACCGCTTTGAGACTCCGATGTGCAGTGAAAAGGCGGTATATAAATAAAAGCTTAAAAGCTTACTTACTTACAGTAGATAAAGGAGAAGCACAAAATGCTCTCAATGACGGCCTGATAAAACCGAGACAGAATAGTGGAGCTGACTTCAAAGGACCTAACTTATGCATAACGCAAAGTTTTTTCTGGCTGCGCGTCACAATAGAAGCAATGTTGAGATCAAATTTCAATTTATCATCAAATATTGCTACAAGGTATTTTATTTGTAGACTCTCTCAACCCCTACCTCATGAACAATCTTCTGAAATCAAATACAAGCTCCTTAGCTTTAGCCACATTCTAGCCACATGTATGGAGCAGTGCATTTACTTCTGTCATATTAGTAATGCTATTTTCTACTTTGGCATCTTTTTGTCTATGTTAACACACACTGCATTAGGAGTTCTACGTCATGGTGCTACGTCCCTTAGGACTTCGCTAGTGGGTTCTACGTCATGGTGCTACGTCCCTTAGGACTTCGCTAGTGGGATATCACTCATGACCCCCAGGTCACACGCCAGAGAGATCAAAATAATTTGCTCCAATCACCAGCCACCCTCCTCTATAAATGCCCCTGCACAAGGCCGCACCCCCTCTTTCACTCTGTCGCCGTTTGAGATCTACCACAGTACTTACTTCTTTCTGAGATGTCTTCCTTGTGCGTCCGAGTTCCCTTCGCCCTCCGGCGTCGGACGTCGTCGCTGGATCCAGACGGTGGAGGACTTCACCTCTGTGGGTGCCACCACTCGAGGAAGGAGGAGGATGCAACCCACGTTGTGCCCGCGGACGGACCCTTTCGTCCATTACGCGACACGTGAGTGGCCTAAGCCCCTAGCAGCCAAGAGGCCTGCTCTGGGATACGACATGTACTGCAGCGGGCAGAACTGGTCCTGGACCGGTGGTGTCCCGGACATCGAGGAGTCAGTCCGCATGGCCCTGCAGCCCTCCGCATCCGTGTGGCCCGGCACCAGACCTCTCCTTCCCTCCGAGCGGGACAGGATGTCTTGGCGATGCTGGATAGATGTTATGCCAATGCGGCACAGGTTGTCACATTGGCTAACAACATGACTTTCATCACGGGGGCCCTGGATAGGTCGCTCTCCTCTGGACAGGCGCTCAGTGGAGACCTCCTGTCACAGGCAAGGACCGCCTCGGCGGCGATCCTGCGCATGTGCCAGACGCTAGCCGTGGAGGGTGGCCCGGACACCGAGGATTCAGTCCGCATGGCCCTGCAGCCCTCCGCATCCGTGTGGCCCGGCACCAGACCTCTCCTTCCCTCCGAGCGGGACAGGATGTCTTGGCGATGCTGGATAGATGTTATGCCAATGCAGCACAGGTCCTCGCATTGACTAACAACATGGCATTCATCACGGGGGCCCTGGATATGTCGCTCTCTTCTGGCCAGGCGCTCAGTGGAGACCTCCTGTCACAGGCGAGGACCACCTCGGCGGCGACTCTGCGCATGTGCCAGACGCTAGCTGTGGATGGTGGCCGCTCCATGGCAGCAGCCCAAGTCGGGGCCAGGCACCTTGGCTTGGGCTGGCTAATATCAGGGAGGCGGAGAGGAGGCAGCTGCTGGACCTGCCTATCTCCTAGACGTCCCTTTTCGGTCCGGACAAGCAGACCCTGGTGGCTAGACTGGAGACCGCAGCCAAGGACTCGGCTAGCCTAGCCCAGCACCTAGCGCCGAGGCGCGAGGCCCGCCCACCAGCGCAGAGCCGAGACAGAGGCAGGGAGCGTTCGCCCGGGAGGTTCCCTGGCCCATATCCACGCTCCATGACCTATGGTCCCCCCTCGACGAGGCCCCGGGTCCAGACAGACACACGGGAGGCTCGCGGGACCAACGCACCCACCGCCGACCTCCCTATGGCAGAGGAGGTCGGGGTGGGAAGAATTCTTTCAATAAAAGCCGACCGGCATTTCATCATTACTCGCTGTCTGAGTCTCATTTGGGGGTATGTAACATGTCAAATGATCTGAATTCTGATTGTGTTACTTATCGAGCACATAACGTGGCTTCGCTATGCCTGCAGCCCCCAGAGCAGGGTGTGCAGTGCGCTACGCGAGCTACGAGCTCCGGTCCTCTGATCCATGCTATGCCCTCCCAGAGAGAGGTCAGGCGGAGGGATCTGGTGAGTAGTGGTGTGTGTGCTTCGGCCGAACGCGTGTTAGCATCTCTGAGCTACAAGGCTAACACAGGGTTTCCCAATCCAGGGGCTCGCCCCCCCCTCCATGAGGCAAGAGCCAGGGGGGGGCACAGCAGCCAAGTCACGTGTGGTGAGCAGTCCCGTACTTATGACGTCGGGCCTGCAGAACACGTGACCGCCCCCGGCGCTCACGGTGTGACGCAGGGGCCCCCCCGGCCCTTTCAGCCACCCCCCCTCCCTGCTAGGAACACCAGGAGAGGGCGGGGCCGTGACGTCTCGTGTTCCAGCTCCCGTTCCGCCCCACAGACTTCTACAGCATCTGGAGGGAGCAGGGCTTACTGACAGATATTGGCTGGAGAAAACTTTGCGCAGGGGTTACGCACTGCAATTTTTCCGAAAGCCACCACCATTCCGAGGCGTACGGGCAGCACGCTCTCAGGTACGGGGATCGATAGAGGCACTGCAAGCGGAGGTCTCCTCTCTGCTGAGTCGAGGCGCAGCAGTGGAGGTAGACCCGCAGGACGCCACCAGGGGGCTGTACTCCCCTTACTTCTTAGTGCCAAAGAAGTCAGGCGGGGTGCGTCCCATTCTGGATCTGCGCGTGTTGAACGAGTGCATTTCCAAACGGCAGTTTCGGATGCTGTCCACAAGGCAGCTCCTCGAGTGTGTCAGGGAGGGAGACTGGATGTGCTCCATAGACCTGACAGATGCGTACTTCCACGTGCCCATAGTGCCAGAACACAGAAGGTTTCTGCGCTTCGCAGTGGAAGAGAGGAATTACGAGTACTGCCGTCTACCCTTCGGGTACGCACACTCGCGCCTCGGACTTTTTCCAAATGTGTGGAAGCAGCTCTGGAGCCGCTCAGACGCGCAGGGGTAAGCTTTTTAACCTACATAGACGACTGGTTAATTCTGGCCTCATCCAGAGAAGTGGCCGTGAGCCACACGCACTGGGTCCTGTCCCACATACAGCGCCTGGGCTTTGTGGTGAACAGGGAGAAAATTATTAGTTACCTAATGTAACTTAAGTTCTACGAATAGGTGCACGTGTTATCCCACTATAGTCCGCTAAGGGACGTAGCACCATGACGTAGAAGCAGGCTGCAACCGGCTCAGCGCATGATCTATCTCGGCCTGCAGCTAGACTCTGTGACATTCCGTGCTGCATTGTCCGTGGACAGACGGATGAATACTACCCGTCTACCCAGGGAGGTTCTGGCGGGCCCCAGAGTCCCCGCGCGGCGCCTCAGGTCCCTGCTGGGAATGATGGCG